TCATCATGGTGTTAATTTGTTTCTTTAAGTGACGGCAGTAAATGACTGAACAATAATTTGAACAATAGTTTTTAATTTTATAATTAAACAACTGAACTTTTTTTGTGTTTATACACATGTAATAAATACACATGTAGTTTTTATTATTATTGTTTTTTTTTCCAGAAAAACTCTGTTTATATATATATATATATATATTTATTTATTAATTTATTGCATAATTGCTTAATTAACCTTTTTTTATACACAATAAATGTTTTTAATTATTATTGTTGATTCGCGGATTATTTCTCCCGTCAGCTGATTTCTTGCTGTTGCCACATCCTGTCAGACTGAAATGAGAAGTCTGTACTGAAGGAGTGAAGGATCAGTCTATATTTCCTCTGAGACGCTGAAGACTGCTGAATGGTTAAGCAGGAGCAGCTCTGAGATGTTCTTCATGCTCTTATTCCTCATTGGGATCCTGCTTGGTCAAGTTCAGGGTAAGAACATCAGCGATTATAACCTTACTGTAAACCTGCAAGAAGATCTCAGGGGTTTATTCCCTGATGGATGCTCACAGTTCACCCTAAAAATATAATTTACTCACCCTTGACTTGGTTCAAACCTTTATGAGTTTCTTTCTTCTGTTGAAAGCAAAAGAAGATATTTTGAAGAATGTTGGAAACCATTGACTATTTTTTTTCCTAAAATGGAAGTTAATGGTTACAGGTTTTAAGAGTTGTTCAAAATATCTTTTTATGTGTGTGTGTGTGTGTGTGTGTGTTCAACATAATAAGAAAACTCAGGGTTGGAACCACTTGAAGTAGAGTAAATAGAGAGTAAATCTTTATTTTTGGGTGAACTATCCCTTTAACAGTCACATCAACAAATGAATGCTTTAAACATTCTCTGAATTAGTTTATTTTTGTATGTGTGACTCTGTCAATCAACTAATACCTGTGCAAATCAAATTTTCTGGGATGAATGAACTGACCTGAACCTGAACCTAACCTGAACCCGAATGAGTCCTGATGTTTAAAATATAAAGTTTTATACATTGAGCAAACATAAAACTTTCAATTTTATATGTTTGCTCAAGATATAAAAGCTTTACATTTTCAAGTTTTATATTTTTAGCTAAATTAATTATAAAATATATTATGCAAATATTATGCAAATGTTAAATTTTAATGTTAAGTAAATATTCTGAAAGTAGTAAGATAAAAAAGGTCACACTTTACAATAAGGTTTATTAGTTAATGTTAATTAATGCATTTACTAATATGAACAAACAATGAACAATACATTTACTACAGTATTTATTCATGTTAATAAACGTTAGTTAATGAAAATACAGTTGTTCATTGTTAGTTCATGTTAACTCATGGTGCATTAACTAATGTTAACAAGCATGGACTTGGATGTTAATAATGCATTAGTAAATGTTTAATTAAGATTAATAAATGCTGTACATGTGTTGTTCATGATTAGTTCATGTTAGTAAATGCATTAACTAATGAACCTTATTGTAAAGTGTTACCAAAAAAAATAACACAATAGATGAACGTTTAACTGAAACAATTTAGAAATGAAGCATTGCAGGATTGATGTATAAAAAAATAAGGTTTTTCTTTTTAAAAAATGTTATTAAAGATGAGAAATTTGCTTAAATTTGCTGACAAAAGATAGGTCGAAAATCAAAAGTTGGGGATGAATCTACTTACAAGAGATATTAGATACCTAAAAATGAATTTCAAATCAATACAATGATTATTTAAACTCAGAAATTACTAGTAAATTTAACAAATAATTATTAAGAAATGGCGATTAACATTTAAATTAAAGAGAAATTTGGAAGTAAAAAAAATAAATCATATTTTTACTAATGTTTATTTCTAAGCACATCATCATAAATGGTACTTTTTGTTTGCGTTTATATGAATCTGAAGCTATTCTTGATCTGTTTTTGTTCACTGCAGATATATTAAATTATTAAATTTATTATATATAATTTATTAAATAATATTAAATTTGACATGTTTTCTGAATGAAATCGAAGTATTATCAGCGCTGTATTGTGATAATGTGGTGCTGATATTAATGTTGAATTATCGCTCATTGTCATTTATGAGTGCTGTGATTAAATCTGTAAATATTTGAGGAGAGATCATTTGTCATGATGTGAGCAGCACTGATGGAGAGCGGTTTACTGTAGTTCATTTGATATTAGTCAGTTCATAATAAATATACAAATCTCATTAAATAAAGATACATTTACTGTAAATGCACGACGACTTAAGACTATTTTAGATGTATAAAGTAAATAAATACAGAACGTTATACTTAAAACAAGTAGCAGGGTTAGAAATAAAAGTTATTTCGCAGGTAAAATAGTTGTATTGTTCTTAATCTGTTGATTTCTTTTACTTTTTTAAGTAAAAGCTCACTTAAATGCATGCAAATTTCATTGAGTTATTAAATAAAGAATAATAGCATTGTCTGAATTACACTGTATAAATATCAGTTAATCAACAGTATTTTGTGATTCACAAGTGTTTATTTACAGTTGTGAATTGCATTATGGGATGTTGATCTCTGCTCTGTCAACTTCTGATGTTGAAAATTCAACTCTACAGTTTAACAAAGTGACTTTATTGACATTTTAATCAATAGTATAATGTATAAGAGATCAAATATTGAGAAATAAGTCTGTAAAATCACCAAAAAAAAGAAGTACTGGCAGTTTATTAAAAAAGGTTTTGTAGCGTAATACAATAATAAACACCATCTTATACAATATATGTTAATGTCAGTTTTATTCACAGTTGAAGTCAGAATTATTAGCACCCCTTTGAATTTTCCTATCTTTTTTAAATATTTCCCAAATGATGTTTAACAGATTCAAGAAATTTTCACAGTATGTCTGATAATATTTTTTCTTCTGGAGAAAGTCTTATTTGTTTTGTTTAGGCTAGAATAAAATCAGTTTTTAATTTTTTAAACACCATTTTAAGGAAAATTTATGAGCCCCTTTATGCTATTTTTTTCGATAGTCTACAAAACAAACCATCATTATACAATAACTTGCCTAATTACCCTAACCTGCCTAGTTAACCTAATTAACCAAGTTAAGCCTTTAAATGTCTCTTTAAGCTGTATAGAAGTATCTTGAAATATCTAGTCAAATATTATTTACTGTCATAATGGCAAAGAAAAAATAAATCAGTTATTCGAGATGAGTTATTAAAACTATTATGTTTAGAAATGTGTTGAACAAATCTTCTCTCTGTTAAACAGAAATTTGGGAAAAATAAACAGTGGGGCTAATAATTCAGGGGGGCTAATAATTCTGACTTTAACTGTATATAGCACTATTAAACACAACCAGAGATTGACCAATGTGCTGCACAGTACACATCACAACAAAGAAACATAAAAAATTATAGCTAAAATGGACTATCATTAGACTGCCGAACTCTAAATGCCACATCAAAGAGGCAAGTGTCAACCTAGATTTAAAAACAGACAGAGATAAACAGATCTAATACAGAGAGGCAGAGCATATTCCACAATGTAGGATCAGCTACTGTGAAAGCACGGTCAGCCCTGCATTTCAGCATCCACTTAGGAATGCATAACAAACTCTGATTAGATGACTGAAGAGACCGAGCAGGGGTGCATTTCCAAAAACCATGGTTAGCCAACTAAAGTCGCAAGTTGTGTCATTACAAACACAGTTTGTTGATTTGGTGTTTCCCAAATCCATCTTTCCAATGAACATTCGCAAACTGTGTCTAGTGTCTAGCAAAGTGCTAAATAAATGTAAGGAAATATTATTATTATTATGTCGCAACTGTAATAGCACTGCAAAAAATAAAAATAATAATAATGATAATAAATTTTGCAGTACAAATATGTAAACCTACTCAAATCAAGATGCATTTCCTTGAGAATCAAAGTGACACAATATTAGTTTAATAGTGTAATATAATAGTATTTTATTTTATTTGTTATAAATATAATTTTTTTTTCTACTATTACCTGTCCGCTCCTTTTGGTCTTCTCCTTGTTTTTACCACAATTTTACTTCATCCAGATCAGTTTATAAATTTCAAGTAAATGTATCATCTTCATTTTATTTATTTATTTTTTAATATTACTGAGGATGAAAATCACAGTTTTTTTCTTCTTCTTGTGGTAAATTAAATGATCAATTGATTCGTTTTTGATTTGTTTTGTTGTGGCCGTGGTAGAAAGAGACAGTTTCTTGGGGTTTTATTGTTACACAGGCAGATGATAAATAATTTGTGTGTGCGTGTGTGTGCGCGCGCGTGTGTGTGTGTGCGTGCGTGCGCGTGCGAGTGTGTGTGTGTGTGTGCGTGCGTGTTACCTATGTAATGTCCCCACTTTTCACAAAAACAAACACATGTGTGTGTGTGTGTGTGTGTGTGTGTGTGTGTGTGTGTGCGTGTGCGTGTGCGCGTGCGCGTGTGTGTGCGTGTGTGTGAGGATAGCAGAAGTGAGAGCAGGATCAGGATGTCTAGTGTGATTTCGCAGTGCAGATTACTGATTCCTCATCATGTTCTCCAAACACACACACACACACACACACACACACACACACACACACACACACACACACACACACACACACCACTTTCATTTCTCCTCATATTTCATCCCTCACTTCAACACATTCACATCAGAGAGCTGGAGTAATGCGCTGAGTTTCGGTTTTATAGAAGTGTGTCACATCTGATCAGTCTCGTAAATTTAAAGGTTAATTACAAAAGGACACTTACAATCTATACGATGTCATGGGTTTATGCAAATCCGAAAGGAACTAGATGACCATGGTGATTGGTTTAGGGTTTCTCTGTACTTCCATTCGTTCATTTCATTTTCAGCTTAGTCCCTTTATTAATCTGGGGTCACCACAGCGGAATGAACCCCCAATTTATCCAGTATATGATTTGATAACATATGCTATGTGGGGGGGTGGGCTTGTGCCATAATGGGCGACGTCATGGGGTCCTTGATGTTCTTGTACTCATAAGGGTTTTTGAACCGCACTCAGGATGCTGTCACACCTAGATTCAGTTGTTCCGAAACAGGGATTAAAACTGTTACATTGTTGCTCGTTGCTCTTGGTGCGGTTCGCTTTCAGACGGCAAAGTTTCTAAACGAACCAAAAGAGCTAAAACAAGTCACGTGTGAGTAAACTCTCCTCACATTGATCAGTTTCACGGTTTGTTTTGCTGAGTCCTGCTCAGCTGTCAGGGAGGTGGTAGTGGTTTGGTGGTGTTTGACAGGGTGCGCGTGACGTGTCATAAGAGCGAGGACGGATGCGTTGGGGAGGGGTGAGAAGGGTGCGCGATGTATTTGAGGACCGGGAGGGAGACGCGCCATTTCCGGGAGATTATCACTCGATTGCGGGCACCCGGGAGTCTCTGTGCCTTTGCTGGAGACTAACGAAGCTTCCGGAAAACTTGGGATGTCTGGAATGACCTCCCGCCCTGCTCATAATTATCTCTTCATATAGCCGTATGCCTATTACATATCCATAATACACTGTGATTTATCCGGGCTCGGATCGTATCGCTTTCTCACTACAATCGATCCGCTCCAGAGTTTGTTTCAATCAACCAGAGATCTCGGAGCGATTGTTTTGGCGTGGATCCAAGCGCGATTGCTGGATTTGCATATGCCAAACGAACCATGCTAACTGGGCAAATGAGACAGGTTCCGAAAAAAAAAGTCCAGGGCTGCGTTCGAAACCGCCTACTACTCAGTAGGTGCTGCATTTGAATTTAAACGTACTACTCGGCCGTTAGAAAAGTGCGTTCTATACAGTATGAATGTGAAAAGTATGAATGGAATTCGGACGAACTACATCCGCCATTTTGTCATGGTCACGTGACCTACCTGCGTCAGTTGTGTCGCTTTACTTCCATTCATGAATTCGTTTGCGAGGCATCATGGGATAGCGCAGCATGCATGGGATGCGCACTCCGGAATCTCGCCGGAAGTAGTAAGTCATCCGGGTACTTCTCGCATACTAATTTTCGAATTCTATGAATTTGGACATACTACTCGGCTTGCATACTGATTTTGGCATACTATATAGTATGGAAGTATGCGGTTTTGGATGCAGCCTAGGTGTGAAAGCCTCCTTAGTCTAACCTGTCACCCAAGACGTTTTTGCCTTGTGAGACTCTACCTGGAGCATTAGCCCCCAACAACATAGCTCTTAGGATCACTCAGCTTTTGATTTACCGGTCAATCTACGTTCCTACTCTCACCTATGATCATGAGCTTTGGGTCATGACCGAAAGGTCAAGACCATGAATGCAAGCAGGCGAAATGAGTTTCCTTCAAAGGGTGGCCCCTTGGAGGATCTGGAGGAAGTGTCTGGGGAGAGGGAAGTCTGGGGTTCTCTCCTAAGACTGCTGCCCCCATGATCCGGCCCAGGAAAAGCGGTAGAAAATGAATGAATTAATGAATAAATGTCATCAAGATATGACATTTCTACTGACAATCAATATTGGTGGGTGAGGAAAACCAAACTTCTACATCACGGTGCGGTTAGCTTCAAAATCACTGGCATTTGGATCCTAGTTTAGGATCGCTCCAATATGACTGTGGACATACTTTGCCTATGCACATTTCCATCCAACGTTCAATCACACGTACTGCATCATCAATGTCTGTTGTGTGTTTTGATCATCAGGTTGGTCTGAACCGCGGATCAGACTGAGCTCTGGTGCTCTAGCCGGCACAGATGTGATCCTGGAATCCGGATCTCCTCTTCAGCTGGTCTGTGAGGGCGACGGTCCAGTGACGTTTCTTCCCCGTCTGGCCAAACACAAGCGCTACATTTCCAAAGAAGTGGGGAAAATACGCAGTTTCCGCGTGGAAAAGACAACGGTGGACTTCACAGGAACATACAAGTGCGTCTATATGAATGGAAATGATTCAAACTTGTCGTCTTCGGTTCATGTGTTTGTCCGGGGTGAGTGACTCTTTCATTTCTCCACACTTGCAGAAGCACATCATGATAGCCGTTGTGTTCACATTGTTCTTTAACCTCATCTGTGTTTGTTACAGACTCTCGAGTTCTCTTTGTTTCTCCGAGTACGTCTCTGCGATATGTGCGGAAAGAAGGTGAAGATCTGTTGCTCCCGTGTCTTCTGACCGACCCGGAGGCCACAGACTTCACATTTCGCATGGACAACGGTTCAGCAGCGCCCTACGGCATGAACATCACCTACGACCCCAGAAAAGGTGTCCTGATCCGCAACGTTCATCCTGGATTTAACGCAGACTACATTTGCTGCGCTAGAATCGGAGGTGCAGAGAAAGTGTCAAAGATATTCTCGATAAACATCATTCAAAGTGAGTTTCATTTACAGTGCTGGGTGTTTCCATACAAATCAGCTGACAGAAGCTCCACATTTTAAACAAACATTAAATTTTTTGGAAAATAGGGTCATTTTTGAAGTCCCCTAAAGTTAAATAGTTTGGTTTTACCGCTTTTGAATCCATTCAGCCAATCGTGAGGTCTAGCAAAAGCACTTTTGGCTTAGCATAGGTCATTGAATTGGATTAAACCATTAGCATATCCCTCAAAAAAGCACTTTTAGCTTAGCTTAGCTTAGCATAGATCATTAAATTGGATTAGACCATTCGACTTTAGACAAAGGAGCACTTTTAGCTTAGCTTCATTCATTCATTGATTTTCTTTTCGGCTTAGACCCTTTATTATTCTGGGGTCACCACAGCGGAATGAACCGCCAACTTTTCCGGCATATGTTTTACGCAGCGGATGCCCTTCCAGCTGCAACCCATCCCTGGGAAACATCCATACACACTCATTCACACACATACACTACGGTTAATTTTAGCATAACCAATTCACCTCTACCACATGTGTTTGGACTGTGGGGTAATCCAGTGCACCCGGAGGAAAACCCACGCGAACACCGGAAGAACATGCAAACTCCACCTGTTTAAGCCATGGTGTGACAGCAAAGATCCTTGATTATTCTGTTAGAATGAAAGTTTAGCTCCTACACTGTAAAAAAAATCTGTTATTTTACTTTTTTTTCTGTTGAAATACAGAAATTTCCTTAAATTTATATATTCGGTAAATTTTTCGTGTTATTTTACGGTAAATAACTGTAATTTGACAGCTGTTATTTAACTTTTTTCAAGTGGTGCTCGCTGCAGAGCCATTTGGGCAGAGCTGAGCTCCAGCGAGGGGGAGCTTGAGCTTGAGCTCCTCCTTTCTTGCACTTCTTCTACGAGTGATGTCACTGGGGGTAGGGTTAGGGGTGGGGTTGGTGTACGCATTAAAACAGCTGGAGCTCAGCTCTGCTCAAATGGCTCTGCAGCGAGCACGGTCTCCTTTTTTTCAGCATCCTAGCTGCCGGAAAAGCGTAAAATAACAGATTATTTTACAGTGTAGCATTTTATTTTGCCACTGGTCAAAGTACATGATGTAACTACACAATAATCAAGCTTTAAATAGGAATTTTATCAAATTTTTTTTTTTTTGAGCGAGATGCTAATGTTCTAATCTGATTCAATGATCTATGCTAAGCTAAAATAAAAGTGTTTACGCCAGAAGTAGAAATCAGCTGAATGGTTTAAAAAACGCTAAAACTCAGCCATTTAACTCAAGGGAGTTATTTAAAATATATATAATAAATAATAAAGTATTTTAAAATAAACAAGTGGCCCGTTCCTGTAAGATTTTCGTTCCTGTAACTAATTTCGAGAGGATCACGTGCTTATGATCAACACGGCTCTTTTTGCGTATGATGCTTCAAGCTTGACACCACTTTTTCCCCACAGTTTCCTCTTTGCAGTAATTCTCAAGCTCCATCAGATTGGATTTTGAGTGTCAGTTTACTTGTATTTCTCCATAGATGCTCAATATGGTTCTAGTCTGGGCTCTGGCTGGGCCATCCAAGTGTCCCACAGGCTATATTTTTCATCTTTACTTCTATAGTGCTTTTTACAATGTAGATTGTGTCAAAAGCCATAATTTAAAATCGTGGTACATTCAAGCAATTCAGACAAGCAGGAGAGTAGTGTAGAACAGTGTTTCCCAACCACGTTCTTGGAGCACCACCAGCATTGCATGTTTTGGATCTCTGCTTTGTCTGTCACACCCATTGCAGGTCTTTCAGTCTCTGCTAATGAGCTGATGATCATGGTTAAGGAGACATGAAAAATCTGCAGAGCTGGTAGTCCTCCAGGAATGTGGTTGAGAAACACTGGTGTAAAAAGTGGTATAATTCTAGTTAAGTTTAAATGACTTAGTGTAAAATCGATTTTCTTCAAGGATGTACTGTATATTGCTGCATTCATCTTTTCCTCAGTCCTGACTAGTTTCCCTGTCCCTTCTGCTGAAATTTGGAACAAGATATTGTAATTAAAAGCTACAATTTTTATTGTACTATTTGTTTGTTTGCATTCAGGGTTACGTTTTCCACCGTATGTGTACCTGAAGAGGAACGAGTATGTAAAACTGGTTGGGGAGAGACTTCAGATCAGCTGTACGACAAATAATCCAAACTTTTACTACAACGTCACATGGACACACTCCTCAAGAATGGTATGAGCTTTTCAAGTTAATGTATGAAAGTATATAGTCATTGCCATGTTTCAACAACAATAATCAACACTGCATGATTTCTGAAAGATGATCTGACACTGAACACTGGAGTAATGGTGTTGAAAATTCAACATTGAAGCAGAAGAATAAATTATATTTTAAAGGATATTAAAATAGGACATGCTTATTCTAAATTTTAAATAATATTTCACACTTTTTTGTGCATTTTTAATCACTTAAATGCAGATTTGGTTAGCAGAAAAGATTTATTTGAGCATGTAGGATAACTGTTGTACTTGTCTGTTTATTAGCTGCCCAAAGCAGAGGAGAAATCAACAATGGAGGGCGACCGTTTAGCCATCGAGAGCATCCTGACCATCCCGTCTGTTCAGCTGTCGCACACTGGGAACATCACCTGTACGGGTCAGAACGAAGCTGGGGCTAACAGCTCCACCACACATCTGCTGGTCGTAGGTGAGATGATTGTTGATGTTTGTGTCCTCTAAAGGGAACTTATTATGCAAAAATCACTTTTATGAGGGGTTTAAACACAATTGTGTTGCAGAAATGTGTGAATGTAGTTGGTCCCTAATGGTTAAAAATAAATAATTCCATTTTTTATAATCAGACTTTTTTATTGACATTCTCCCTTTGTATGTGTCATCAGAGTGGGAAAGCCCTGCCCATTAGTGGCAATTTCTCCCTCATTAGCATAAACAGCCCTGAGTGAGAAGCAGCCGTCTGCCATTCGTGTTTTCACTGTAGTCTCCATAGTCGACCTTCTTCTGAGCTACTTGTTTTAATATTTTTAGTTCTTTACACAAATAACATTAGTCCTGTTTTAAATCTGCCACTATGCTCACATGTAGGCATTTGTAGCTCCGCCCTCTTTTGAAATTCTCATTTGAATTTAAAGCGACACTCACCACAAATGCATAATTGGGATCAAAGCCTAAAAGAGGGCATGTTTAAAGAGTTTCAAAAACATATTTGCAGTGTATTTTGAGCTGAAATTTTACTAATGCAAAACCACATACTGTGTGCATAAACAAACAGATACATTTGTTGTTTTTGGTCCAAATGCTTTGAGTATGTCACTCCCATTCAACCTAATGTCTTTTTTTTTTTTTTTTGCTTTAGAACTTTAAGATTTATTTTTTACTGTAAATATCGCTTCCCCACTCCTCTTTCTTCTGTAAACAGAGAATAAGATCATGCAAAGGGATATGGTGTTCTGTTACTGTCATTAAGAAATACAACAAAGGCCCATTTTGAAAACGTAACCCTGCATACATTTCTGGAGAGCACAAATTATCTAGCCAGAAGTATGTATGGCTGCATTTTGCCTTTAAAACTAATGCTATGGGCGGTATGATGGAATTTCTTGAGTTGACTGTGACGACAGGGTTCGAGTCCAGTAAAAAATAGTTCCAGAAATCCAAAAGCTTTAAGACAAAAACAAAAGCCAAAAAATAAAATAAACAAGTAAATAACAGGGTGAGAATGTGGTAAAATCTGAAAACGTGGGAAAAATTAGGCAGCCGCAAGGTTTATTTTTTCTGGATTGCTTTTGAAAACACTATCGGTTGGGTTTAGGGAAGGGATGGATAGGGCGTCAGCTGGTCAGTCAGTCAACAGCAGCCTTTACACAAGAAGAGCAGGCACAAATGGCACTCGTGAGAGAAATTTGAGATCTGAAAAGTATACACAGTGACCTCCTGGGACGTATTTGGCACTCTCCAAAAATGTATACAGGGGTACATTTTCAGAAATTTGTGTTTCCTCTTTTACTTGATTAAAGAATTTAAACTGGAAAATCTGTAAAGGTGACAATTGTCTATTGATGTTGTGAATTGTATCTCTTAGCAATAAAAACTTACATAAATAAATCTACTAATGCACTTGTTGTCTGTGACAGAGGAGCCGTACATTCGACTGTCGCCAAAGCTCTCTTCTAAACTCACACACCGCGGTCTGTCCATCGAGGTGAGCGAAGGAGACGATGTGGATCTCGGGGTTTTGATCGAAGCGTATCCTCCTCTGACTTCACACAAGTGGGAGACGCCCACATCCCATAATGCCTCACTTCCAGAGAACAGGTTTTTCAACCATAACGACAGGTCAGTTGAACATCATCGCTAATGTATTTTTAAAATTATTTTACATGTTTATTGAGAATTGCTCATAGTGTTAAAGTGTTAATGGAATGAATGAACGAACAAATTGATGGATGGATGGATGGATGGATGGATGGATGGATGAATGTATGAATGAATAAATGGATGGATAGATGAATGAAGGAAGGAAGGAAGAAAGGAAGGAAGGAAGGAAGAAAGGTAGGAATTAATAAATGAATGAATGAATGAATGAATGAATGAATGAATGAATGAATGAATGAATGAATGAATGAATGAATGAAGCAATTAATGAAGGAAATAATGAAATAATGAATAAATTGATGGATCAATGGAAGTATGAATAAATGAATAAATTGATGGATGAATGAATGAAGGAAGTAGGGAAGGAAGGAGTTAATGAAGGGGTGGATGGATGGATTGATGAATGAATGAATAAATTAACTAATTGATAAATGGATTGATGGATAATTGAATGGATAGATTAATAAATGAATAAATGAGTAGATCAATGAATGAATGAATGTATTAATCAATTCATAAATTGATGGAATGAATGCATGAATGAATGACTGACTGAATGAATGAATGAATAAATGAATGAATGAATGAACGAACGAAAAGTTTACAAATTAATTTATTAATTAATTCATAAATGAAGGAAGGAATGAATGACTGAGGTAATGAATAGATTAATGAAGGAATTAATGAATGAATTCATTAATTAATGAAGAAATGAAGGAAGGAATTAATAAATGAAGGAATGATTAGATTAATGAATGGAGGAATAGATGATTGATGAATGAATGAATGAATGAATGAATGAATGAATGAATGAATGAATGAATGAATGAATGAATGAATAAATGGATGGATGGATGGATGGATGGATGGATGGATAAATGGATGGATAAATGGATGGATGGATGGATGAAAGAATGGATGTTAAATAGATGGATATATTAAGAAATAAAGGAATGAATGTAGGAAGGAATGAATAAATGAATGGATGAATGAAGGAATGAATGGATGGATGGATGGATGGATGAATGAATTCTATACCAACATTTCTCTAAATATAGCCATGAATAAATGACTACATATAGCTGAATGCTATGTTATTAATGTTATTAACAATGGCAAACTAGACGAATGTAACATTTTTTTATTGTTATTATTCATAGGCTGATAAATGTGAGCTCATTGTGATGGATTTGTAGGTACGAGGCGCTGCTGTTACTCAAGAGACTGAACTTCGAGGAGATCGGCCAATACACGCTTAATGTCAAGAACAGCATGAAAAGTGCCTCCATCACTTTTGATATTAAAATGTACAGTAAGTAAAGTTTACTTGTGTTTATATATGTACATTACAAGTTAGGGCTGCGCGATACAGCGCATATATATAACAAAATATATAACAAAATTTCTCACGATATAAGATTAAGCTAGAAAAATGCTTTGTTTTTTAGCTGTTTTAAATTATTTAAATAATTTATGTAATGATATTATAATAAACAGGTTAAATACATTTTTCAGAATTAATTAGATCTAATTCAGATTAAAAATGACATCAGAAATATTTCATGAGGTCTAATGATTTTGATTGTATGTGTACTGCAAATGCAAATGCAAAAGAAAAAAACAAGTGGAACAAATAAATATCTATACATCGACATTCGACAATAGCCTAGTGGTTAGCGTGCCGACATATGGTGCAATAGCACGTCAGGGTGTTGCGAGTTCGAATCCCGGCTCGAGGACATTTCCCTACCCTCTCTCTCTCTCTCTCTCTCTCTCTCTCTCACTTCGCTTCCTGTCTCAATACTATCCTATCTAATAAAGGCAAAAAGGCCAAAAAAAAATTAAAAAATATATAATAAATTCTCTGCAGAAATAGCAAAGAACATCCGCAGATTCTGTCTGGCCCTACTAATGGGTCATTATTGTAGTGTTACCGTATTAATCAGTGTTTATGAATGAGCTGAACAGCATTAAACCCACATCCTTCCTAAAAAGGGAATCGATTTAAGTAAGAATCTCCTCTGAAATGCTCAAATCTGATTGTGTTTGACAGCGAAGCCTGTTGCGAGGGTGAAATGGGAAAACGTCACCACTCTGTCCTGTCGATCTTATGGATATCCGGCTCCCAGCATCCTCTGGTACCAATGCACAGGAATCAGAACCACGTATGTCTTCATATAAACTATATACAGTTGACGCCAAAATTATTCGGCCTTCTGTGAATTTTGTTTCTTTTTCAGATATTGCCCAAATTATGTTTAACAGAGCAAGGAAATTTACTGAAAGGCTAATAATTCTTAAATCTTCTCAATATCCAAAATATGACTTAAAGGGGCTTATAATATTGTCTTTAAAACGGTAAGAAAAACTGCTTTTATTCTAGCCAAAATAAAACAAAAAAGACCTTTTCCAGAAGAAAATATATTATAGGAAATACTGTGAAAAATTCCTGAATCTGTTAAACATCATATGGGAAATATTTAACAAATATAATAATAATTTTGACTTTGTACGTCACCTTTAATTAAAGTCTCCTAATTGCTCCTGTTGATGTGTCAAACAGCTGTCCCGAAAACACCACAGATCTGCAGCCGATCCAGACGCAGACAGTGGAGTTCCAGAAGGAAAGTTTCGGGGCTGTCGGTGTGGAAAGCGTCCTGACCGTGGGCCCCAACCGCAGGATGACCGTCGTCTGTGTGGCCTTTAACCTGGTCGGTCAAGGCAGTGACACCTTCTCCATGGAGGTCTCTGGTACTGAAGCTTTCTAGACGGTTTATATGAGCTCATCCTTCTTGGTTATTGTTTGTCAGAATTATTAGCCCTTCTGAACATTTATTTATAAAGATGTTTTTTTCAACACATTTCTAAACATAATAGTTTTAATAACTCATCTCTAATAAGTGATTTATTTATTTTTGCCATGATGACAGTAAATATTTGACTAGATATTTTTCAAGAAACTTCTATTCAGCTTAAAGTGACTTTTAAAGGCTTAACTAGGTTAATTAGGCAAGTTTGGGTAATTAGGCAAGTCACTGTATAACAGTGGTTTGTTCTGTAGACAATGAAACACAAATATTGCTTAAGGGGGCTAATAATATTGACCTTAAAATGGCTTTAAAAAGTTAAAAACTGTTTTGATTCTAGCCGAAATCAAACAAATAAAGAAGAAAAAAATTTTTTTTGCTCTATTAAACATCATCATCAACATCCAACATCAAACATAGAAATATCAACAAAAAAGGTGAATCATTTTGCTACTTTGTGTGTTTGTTTTGTGTCAGATCAAATCTTCACCAGTGCCATGTGCGGCTCGACGGTGGCGATGGTGGTGCTCGGGCTGCTGCTTATCTTCATGATCTACAAGTATAAACAGGTCAGTTTTAGCTAATCAAAATCACTCAGTATGAATCCTCTTTAACATGGTTTTCTTGCTATATCACAAATCTCTGTTAATGTCTTAAAATATCCAGATAGTATTTTTCTGAATGATTCATCAATTCGTCATTCAAATAAATAAAAAAATCCTCTTTCAGATGACTTTTTTTTCTTTCGTTTTTTAATTCCTAGTTCTTAATTTTTTTTTAAAGCTTTCAATTTTTATCGGTAAATTATTCTTTTGCCGTTTTGAGGATTTTATGACTGGCTTTTGACTGAAATTCTGTTTTTATTTGTATAAATAAATGTTATTTAAACTATATATATATATATATATATATATATATATATATATATATATATATATATATATTTATATATATATATGTATATACAGTTGAAGTCAGAATTATTAGCCCCCCTGAATTATTAGTGCCCCTGTCTATTTTTTTCCCCAATTTCTGTTTAATGGAGGGAAGCTTGTTTCAGCACATTTCTAAGCGTAATAATTTTAAAAACTTATTTCTAATAACTGATTTATTTTTTCTTTGCTATGCTCAGAGTAAATAATATTTTACTTGATATTTTTCAATATACTTCTATACAGCTTAAAGTGACATTTAAAGGCTTAACTAGGTTAATAAGGTGAACTAGGCAGGTTAGGGTAATTAGGCAAGTTATTCAATAGCGATGATTTGTTCTGTAGACTATTGAAAAAAAAAATTTGCTTAAAGGGGCTAATAATTTTGTCCCAAAAATAGTTTTTAAAAAATTCAAAACTGCTTTTATTCTAGCCGAAATAAGACAAATGAGACTTTTTCTAGAAGAAAAATTATTATCAGACATACTGTGAAAATTTCATTGCTCTGTTAAACGTCATTTGGGAAATGTTTAAAAAAAGAAAAAAAAATCAAAAGGGGGCTGATAATTCTGACTTCAACTATATATATATATATATATATATATAATTTATTCAGGACAAGTTCAAACTCATCTTATTCTCTTTGTTTCTTTATATTGCCAAAATATTATTATTAACTAGAATTATTATTATTAAAGTTTAGCTAAATTTATGACTGCTGTTTGAATGTTTTGACTTAAAAATATTTATAATTATTAAAAATATTATTAAAAATATTTATTTATAATTATTAAAAATATATTTATTACATTTATTATCTTTGTATATATGTTTTGAATTTTAAAAACTATTACTTTATTTACAATAAATTCACATTGACAATAATTCAACATAAACATTTTTAAAAGACCAAAATTTTTATTCTACTTAATCATTTATTCTAATTTTAATTATCTAACTATTATTTTTTTGTCTTTATTTAAAAAATAAATGATTTAAATTACCCTCCTAACTCAATTCATCATTCAAAAGTGATGTATTCTCATTTTCCACATCTGTTTGGATGTAAAGAAATTCATATTTTCCTTTAAATTATTAATTTTTAATCTTACATTATTTTGTCCTTTTTTAATGCCAAAATATTTTTTGCCATTTTTATGATTTTATCATTTGACTATAAAAAAACATGTTTTAATTTTAAAGTTGTACAGTTTTAAATACTATTACTTCATTCACAATAAATTCACACTGAAATCACATTAATTCAACATCACCATCATTAAGCTTTATAACCTACTTTTGTCTTTATTTTCTTTTAAATTACCCTCATAATTCAATTCAAATTCAAAATCGATTCATTTTTTCACAAAGAAATGTTACAACTTCATTCATCCGCACCTCACATTAGTTGAAACCTGATACATTTTTTAATGTTGTAATCACACAAGTAATGAGCTATGATTCATTCGTTCATTTTCCTTCAGCTTAGTCCCTTATTTATCAGGGGTCGCCACAGTGCAATATACCACCAATTAATCCAGCATATATTTTACACAGCGGATTCTCTTCCAGCCGCAACCCAGTACTGGGAAACACTCAAACACTCACATATTCTCACACACACTCATACATTACTGTCAATTTAGTTCATCCAATTCACCTATAGCGCATGTGTTTGGACTGTGGGGGAAACCCACACCATCACTGGGAGAACATGCAGACTTCACACAGAAATGCCAACTGATCCAGCCAATACTCGAACTAGTGATCTTCTTGCTGTGAGGTGTTTGAGCTATTATTTTTGCAGAAAATTTTGATTAAATAAAAAAAAACAATCAATTCCTACTGCACTATATAAATTTTAATAAAATCAAATAAAGCATGACTGACTAACTCTCTTTAACTTTATGAATGATTCATCACATGCTGTTTTGAAATATTTTAACACTGTCGATTAAACACACTCTTCAAATTGCTCCTATTTATTAACGTGCGTGAAATCCTCTGAAGAGCAGTGTGTGTGTGTTTGCTCTGTGCGCAGAAGCCCAGATATGAGATCCGCTGGAAAATCATCGAAGCCACAAATGGAAACAACTACACCTTCATCGACCCCACACAGCTGCCGTACAACGAGAAATGGGAGTTTCCTCGAGACAAACTCAAACTCGGTCTGTACTTGATCTTTTATTATTTACACCAGGGGTGGGCAAACTCGGTCCTGGACGGTCGATGTCCTGCATAGTTTAGCTGCAACACAAGCATGGAAATGGCCAAAACCCCTCTAAAACTAGCCTGGTCGACCAGCTAAAACCAGTCAACCAGCCTAGGCTGGTTTAAGCTGGATTTTTCAGCAGGGTAGTATCAGCATATGTAAGTTTTAAAGATATCTACAAGCTAGTGTGGCTCCAAAACAGTGACAAAATTTGCATTTAGATGATATAAACCTCATATAAACTTTACAAAAAACTTTAGTAGTTTGTCTCTTGGGTCTATGATTTTTTTGATGTCAGCTCATACTAAAGTTTCTCATTAAATCTTCTGTCTAATCAACTCCCTGCTGAAAAATCCAGCCTAGGCTGGTTGGCTGGCTTTAGCTGGTCGACCAGGCTGGTTTTAGAGGGGTTTTGGCCACTTCCAGGCTGGTTTCCAGCCATTTCCAGCCTGGTCTTAGCTGGTCAAGCTGGGAGATGACCAGCTAAATCCAGCTTGACCAGCCTAGCCAAGCTGGGAGTCCAGCCAAAACCAGCTGTCCAGCTTAAACTAGGCTGGTCAAGCTGGTTTTAGCTGGATTTGGCTGGTCATTTTCCAGCCTGACCAGCTAAGACCAGGCTGGAAATGGCTGGAAACCAGCCTGGAAATGGCCAAAACCCCTCTAAAACCAGGCTGGTCAACCAGCTAAAACCAGCCAACCAGCCTAGGCTGGTTTAAGCTGGATTTTTCAGCAGGGATGCTCTTTAGTATCTGACATGCCCCTCCCCCCTCAAGACACTTCTCGTTTGCTTTTCATTTGATGCACTTGAGCTCGACACTCTCACTGGCAGAGCTGTCCTAAAAACAACACACTATTGGCTCATTTTTAAAGGGGAGGGGCTGCGCTATGCTCCGCCCTCTCTTCATGTTACAGTTGAGATTAAGGCAAATTTCGAATATGAATTTCAAAGCACTTCATGGGACCTTTAACGCTGATGTGTGCGTGTGTGTGTGTGTGTGTAGGGAAGACTCTTGGTGCTGGTGCGTTTGGGAAGGTGGTGGAGGCCACAGCTTACGGTCTGGGCAAAGAGGACAACATCACACGAGTGGCTGTGAAAATGCTCAAAGGTCAGAAAACATATCTACTATAAAGAGCATTGTACTGTATATACTGTAGATCTCAAACTCAATTCCTGAAGGGCCACAGCTCTGCAAGGTTTGCTCCAGGGGAGGACTGGCCATCTGGCAATTCTGGCAAATGCCAGAAGGGCCGGACCAATTTATAAATGTGGGCCGGTCAGTTTTTTTTTTTTTAATATGTATTGTTTTTAAGTGCAGACACCTTTTATCTCTTGCTAGATGTGATATTATGATGATGAGAATAAAAATAATAATAATAAATGTTAATAAATGAAACTGCCGCCTGGTTTTAAGTTGGGCCGACCCAATCCAAGGTTACCCGGACATAATCAAAATCTGGCAAGAATGTCATATTATTTCACCATCTTTACACCAAAATAAATAGTGAATGTGCGTGTCTGTGGGTGGGGCTGTGTCGGTGTGGTAATGTGGGCTGGTGTGGCAACAGTGCCAGGGCTAAATTTTTGTCCCAGTCCATCCCAGGTTTGCTCCAACACAGCTGATGCAACAATGAAGGTGTTCGAGACTTTTTTGAACACCTTGATTAGTTGGATCATCTGTGTTTAACTAAGGCTGTATTGATTTTATTTCTCACAATTTAGAAACTTTTGCTCATCATTTAATAACTTACAATTCTTAATAACTTAAAAAAAACAAGACATTAGTGTCATTATTGAGTGTATGGACTGTTGGAGTGAGTAGTGTTGTGTTGTGTTGCATGCTGGGAGCAGCCAGTGCTCATCCTGATGAACGTGAGGCTCTGATGTCTGAGCTGAAAATCCTCAGTCACCTCGGCCAGCATAAGAACATCGTCAACCTGCTGGGTGCCTGCACACATGGAGGTAGGACACACACTGGATTTTCCTTTCGATTCTGTACCATTTTTGCTTCATCTGTGGTGTATTTACAGGGCCTGTGCTGGTCATCACGGAGTACTGTTGTCATGGCGACCTGCTGAACTTCCTGCGCAGCAAAGCGGAAAACTTCCTGAACTTCGTCATGACCATACCCAACTTTCCAGAACCCATGACGGATTATAAGAACGTCAGCACCGAGCGAATGTTTGTCAGGAGGTCAGTTTAACAAACAGCCATCCACTATTAAACCCTGTTTCCACTGAGAGGTACAGTACGGTACGGGTCACCTTTAGCAGGCTTGCGTTTCCACTGCCAAAAGGGTACCTTTTTGGACAACCCAGGCTCATTGTGGAAACGTAGTCCCGCGGACGTTCCGCAGGCAGGTACGTACGGCTGCAGTTTTTGTTTTTGTGAATCCGCGAGAGGCGGATTGTGCGCTTTTTTGCTTCTCAAACGCCTCTCGCGAGTGCAGTTCGCGCCCGCGCTATTCTCGCGTGAACCCACTAGAGGCCGATGTCCGACTGACTGGATGATTGACTGCGCGACCGGCCAATTGGCTGACCCGCCCTCCTCCTTCCCTGAACCCAACCAATTTTACAGATTGACCCGCCCTCTTGCTTCCCTAAACCCGAGCAACAGTTTACAAAAGCCGTCCAAAAAAAGAAAAGCCCTGATTTTTTTTTTTTTATACCGCATTTCCCTGTTACGAAACTCGTTCACTTCATTTTTGGGATTCTGTTTTTGTCTTACCTGATTGCTGGAACAGCTCTTCCCCGGACTCGAAACCGATCGCCGTGGTCTACTCCTCTCTGCATCTCAAGCCTGCCGACGTGCACGGTGAGCTGAGTGGACAAACGGGTTGCAGCGGGGAAGCCCTCCACAAGTAGGTAAGCGGTCAGCCGGCCGGCAAGCGCGAAAGGGAACAGAGTCACACCGCCCCGCAGCGTTCGCTTGAAAAAAATAAATGCAGCCGTACGTACCTCCCGGGACGTATACCGCTGTCTCCAGTAACGTCCGCGGGACTACGTTTTCAGAATGAGCTTGGGTTGTTTTTGGAGGTCGTGGTGTACGACAGAAAATTTCAGATGACATCATTTGTATTCGAGGAAATGTCAAAGTAAAGCCGTACACATATCGTATGAGAAGCACTTCTCACAGAACAGAGGCTTTATACACATCAATACTTGTGTATAAATGTTCATTACTAACCTTTCTATGAACATGAGTTGATTATAACTGCAGATCAATGATCAGTGCGAAATAGCAATTAAATAAATAAAAATCTGCAATTATATGAAATACATAAATAAATGCATCATATATGAACACACACAGACCCTTACAGTCTCCGATCCCTGCTGAAAAATCCAGCTTAAACCAGCCTAGGATGGTTGGCTGGCTTTAGCTAGTCAACCAGCCTGGTTTTAGAGGGGTTTTGGCAACTTCCAGACAGGTTTCTGGTTTTAGCTGGACAGGCTAGGTAATGACCAGCTAAAACCAGCTTGACCAGCCTAGCCAGGCTGGGAGCCCAGCCAAAACCAGCTATGTCCAGCTTAAACCAGGCTGGTCAAGCTGGTTTTAGATGGTTTTAGCTGGTCACTTTCCAGCCTGACCAGCTAAGACCAGGCTGGAAATGGCTGGAAACCAGCCTGGAAGTGGCCAAAACCCCTCTAAAACCAGGCTTGTCGACCAGATAAAACCAGCCAACCATCCTAGGCTGGTTTATGATGGATTTTTCAGCAGGGATATGTTATCAATTACAGATAAGCTACACACACCATACATTTAGTCCTTATTTGGCTTCAAAAACAACACGAAATATACCCTACAGTCCTCTCATCTGTGTCTGTAATCTTCAGCAGCACATGTAACCTCTTGTTAGAAAGTAAATCCGTCATTCCGAGTTCATAATAGTCCAAAAGGCGATGTTAAACATGGCAGTTTGTTCATGTTTTGTTGCAGAAAGCCTCATTTGCTGCTGTTTTTCCGGCTTCTCCTTTGTTCTTTCACGCTTCACTCTCGCGGTTATCCCATTCTGAAATTATTGGATATCAGAAGTGCTTCAATAATCACAGGCATGTTATTAATATGAGCACAAGAAGCTTGTTGTTTTAAATATAGTCGTGCGGAGAGCTCCCTGGAGAAAGTGAAAATGCTGGTACGTATTGACGGGTTTGTAAAACAACAACAGGACACAGCAGATTTTGTTCTTCTTGGCTTTGTGGCCGTTCATCAAGACGACAAAAAGGTTTGTTTGAGCTCGAGTCGACCATGTTATTATGTATATATTATAACGGTGTGATGTCTCGGCTGGGTTTTTAAAAATGGTGGTTCTTTTGTTTTCATTCTTCTGCTTCTGTGAGTGAGGTATCTCTATGAATCTCTGTGTATCTCTACCACCTTTTGGTACCCTTTTTGTGCTAACTACCCTTTGCAAAAGGTGACCAAAAAGGGGTACGGTACAGTTCGCTTTTAGGTACCCTTTGACAGTGGAAATGGACATAAATACGTACCAAACCATACCTTACAACTCAGTGGAAATGGGCCATCAGTCCTTGCCGCAATAAATACAAATACAGTATTAACGTATGTGAACAAAGTATAACAATAATAATAGTTTGCACAGATTATTAATATGATATGAGCTAAGCAATCATTAGATTTAGGCATCATTGGTTGTGCAAAAATGATTTGTGTCTGACCCTATTTGCTGGTCAAGTCTGTTATATCAGTTATAAAAATAAAAAAGACAACAAACTGTAAAGCACTGATAGAGATAATATGTGACTTTCACTTCCTCAGGCATGTCATTTATTCATCTTTCATAATTTGTGCATAATATTTAGAATACAACAGTAGCAGATTCATTATTTGTCAGCTTTGTTACTTGGATATTTCAGTGAATTTCTCATTCACTTTTAGAAAACAATAGTATGATGGAAATATAGCATTATTTGGTCTTGGGAAGGACAGATACAAGTCCTGCACAGCAGCCAGAAGGATTTTGAGTCACTCTTCTTGCAGAGTAGAGGTCAGGTCGCTATGTGATGCTCATGCTAAACAAAAAAAAAATGTAAAGGAAAACCTTTTCTAACTCGCTTCTTCAAAACACCCAAAAGTAGCTCAATAATATTCATATCGGGTGACTGTGCAGGCCATGGGAGATGTTTAACTTTACTTTCATGTTAATCAAAACCACTCTGTCACCAGTCTTGATGTGTATATTGGTGCATTATCATCCTGATACACGGCACCTCCTTCAGGATACAATGATTTAACCATTGGGTGCACATGGCCCTCATGAATTGTTCGATATTGGGCCAAGGGAATGCCATGATTTTGCAACCCAAACCATCAATGATCCATCCTAAGCTTCACTCTGGGCATGCCACAGTCTGGGTGGGATGCTTCTTTAGGGCTTCTCCACACGGTAACTCTCCCAGATGTGGGAAAGACAGTAAAGCTCGACTCATCAGAGAACAATACATGTTTCACATTGTTCATAGCCCAGCATTTTCACTTCTGGCACCATTGAAATTGATGTTTGGCATTGGCAAGACTGACAAAAGTTTTGGCCATAGCAGCTCGGCCATGTATATTGATCTTGTGGAGCTCCTGATGAAGTTTGGTGGGAACAGGAGAGCACATCCCTTTCAGACAGCTTCCTCTTGCGTGGATGTGGTTCTTCTTTTTGCATATTAGATTGAGTTATTGATTGTATGTTTTGATTGTGTTTGTGCTGACAGTGACAGTGGGATTTCCAGCACATGCTCTGATCACTATCTGGACATGAGACCAGTCACATCCAGACCAACAAACTCAGCTCTGGGTGAGTCTGCAAAACACTGTCCTCCAATAAGCATGAGAAATACACGCACGTCTTGTGTGTGTGTATAAATATCTGAATCATTTTGTCTTGAGGTCATTAATGCATCACCCTAATGTAAAACTGAGACAGTGTCATTTCTCTCTTTCTCTCTCTTAATTTTTGTTTTATTCTTAAAATGGTTGATTGAATTGAAATGAATTGAATTGAATTGAATTTTATTTGACAGATTTAAGACAAGCTGTATAAAAATATAAGTATCCCATACATTTTTAAATAAAAACTGTCGAGGATAAAAACACAATAAGGCCCTGGGCTTGTTTCCATTGCGGTTCTCGCTGTTAAATAAAACAAAGTATGGCTTCAAAATACAAATGATGCATAAAACAAACAGTACCTCCACATTTTAAAACAGGAACAAAATAATTCACAAATACATTCCTTCATTCATTCATTTTTCCTTTCGACTTAGTCCCTCTATTAATTAGGGGTCGCCACAGCGGAATGAACCGTCAACTTATCCAGCATATGTATTACGCAGCGGATGGCCTTCCAGCTGCAACCCTATTCACAATCAAGTAACAAAATAAAACATCCTCGTCCACCATGCAAACTAATCATCCTCATCAAACAACCTTCTTTAGATAGCTTTTCTGAACCTCCTTAAGTCTTTTATTTCCTTGATCGATTTTGGTCATTTGTTCCACATGATTGCACTTGTATATAAAAACATATTTTTCCCCATTAGACTTCTAAATTTAAATAAACAAATATAAAAAATCCCAACTCCTCACCATTTAAAAAATAGTTCACCAAAAAACTAGGAACCACATGATTAAACATTTTACGTACCATTCCCAGTTTTAAAAAACATACTAATAATATTTCTTCCAAATTGCTAATAAAAAATTGTATTTTGTTCAAGACAATAGCCCCTTTCACACATACAGACCTTTCCGGAAAATTGCCGGCAATTTTCCGGAAAGGTTGTATGTGTGAACAGGTCCTTTTTGAAAATAACGGTAAATTCGTTCTGGCTATTTTCCGGAAAGAGAAGTTGTAACATTACCAGTAATTAGCCGGAATGCTGCGCTGTGTGAATGCAGAAGGAAGATTGCCGTAATAAGCGCGTGCACGTCTAGAACGTGCTGACGTGAGACGTCTGCTTTAGCCAATCACAACAGTCAGACGCATTTACGTCCGCGCGGTTTGTGAGGATAAAAGCCTTTGAATATTTTTCCAGACACATTTAGCTGCTAGAAGTTAGTCAGATCACGTTTATATGTTCTTCTTAATGCCAACTGTGTAAATAATCATCGATGAGATGCTTATGATAAGCCGTTGTTTGTTTACCTTCAAGCTTTGCGTGCGCCTATGAGCGCCTGCATAGTGCATACGCACATATTATGAACATCTGAAGTGATCCTGCGAAAGTTGTTCACAATATTGATCATCCACAGAGTTTGTAATTTAGTCAAATGTTTACAAATACAAGCGCAGCCGTTTAAAGCTCATTTGTGGTGAATGATGTCAGAATTTACCGGTATTTTGGAATGGATGTGTGAACGCTCTTTTCCGGAAAATTTCCGTAACGTCCTCGCCTGTGTGAACAGCGCTTTTTTGAATATACCGGTAAAGTCGTTCCGGAAATTTTCCGGATATTTACCGGTATCACTGTGTGAAAGGGGCTAATGACAGGTGGTTAAAATACCATATTTTTCAATTATTGTGATAAAAAATAAATACAACAATTCAACAATTTAATTTTTTTTAGATTAAATTTAGAAGAAATATCATCAGCAGTAAATCCAGAGAAACTGATTTTATTTTAAAGTGCGTTGGTCATATTTATCCAGAGAAACTGATATCATTTTAAAGAGCCCATATTATACATGAAATAGGGTCATGTGTTGGTTGTAAGGGTCTACAACAACAGTCTAATATGCATGCAAGGTCAAAAAACACTTTCATGGTCTCATAATCTGCATTTATTTTTACGTAATTATCCCAGCGACTCCCGTATGAATCGTACAGTGATTTATTTGTTCCCAAACCCCTCGTTAGCGAGAAGCTAATCTGTGCTGATTGGACCGATGACAGTCTGTTGCGATTGGTTGACACTGACTGCCTTCACCGAGAGACAGAGTGAAATGCACAGCAGCTAATCAACAATATAGAAATAGTCACAGTGCATACACACTCGATAGTGTAAGGCGTGGAGTTTACCTGCCAGTGGATGAATGTAAATACAGACGACTAACTATTTTATTGAGCAAAAACTCCAAGAACTGGCGAGGAGATCTCCTAGCTTGTCACACTGCTCTTTTCACAGACACACACACACACATATTGTCCTCGTCCTCGCGCGCACACACACACACACACGCGCGCGCGCACACACACACACATAATCCTCCTCCTGACGACAAAACGCACACACACACACACATTACCCTCCTTCACGGAACGTAAACAAAGCGGCACGCTTTGCGTTTTTAACGTGGCTTTGCACGCGATATGAGAATATAGCGAGTTAACCTGATACAGTACACGCGGTTACAAGTAACAAATCACAACTAAATACATTTGCAAGCTAGAGTAAACGAGGCAGCAACTTTAATCGCACGTACTTACACTTGAGAAATGGAGGAAGAAACCGATCCATGTCCTGACATGTCGATCATTACTCTTTACTGATCCTTCCTTTAACAAACAAAGTATTCTTTGTAGCATGTAGTTTCCAGTAGTTTCCAACTGCTCAAGGTTGGGCTTATGCTGAAGTTTTATCTTTGGGTAGAGACTCGGTAATATTTATCTGCAGTGTGACTTCAATCGACCGACGGCATGTTTGTGTGTGTGGGTTTCTGTGTTAGAGGGCGGGGCCACAGGTTTCAAATCTCCTGGGTTCGCGCGTGCATGTGAATCACTTCAAATAACTCGTTATCAAGACGACTCGTCTGAAGCACTATGAGTCGACTCTTTTATAGCTGAATCAACAGTTTTAAACACTGTACTCTTACAGATTGAAGCCTTAGCTGGATATCTTACTTCACTTAGAGCTGTGTTACACACTACATGGAAGGGCATTTTCAAAAACCCATAATATGGGCTCTTTAAAGTGCATTGGTCTTATTTATCCAGAGAAACTGGTTTTATTTTATAGTGCGTTGGTCATATTTTCCATAGCTGTATACAAACACACAGCACACGTTATCAATTTTATATTTTAACGTTCTCCAGATTCTTCGTCGGAGTGTCAGGAGGACTCGTGGCCGCTGGACATGGATGATTTACTCAGATTCTCCTCTCAGGTGGCGCAGGGACTGGACTTCCTCGCTGCTAAAAATGTGAGTCTCTGAAATAAAAGCAACAGCTTTACGGCCGAGTGAGGGAAGTTACATGATGCTGATCAGTGTTACTGATGGACTGACTGTGCTGAATCTGCAGTGCATCCACCGAGACGTGGCGGCCAGAAACGTTCTGCTCACCAACAGCCGAGTGGCCAAAATCTGTGACTTCGGACTGGCTCGAGACATCATGAACGACTCCAACTACGTAGTCAAAGGAAACGTGAGGAAACTAACACCACATTAATATTCATATTAACCTTAGTCTTTACGTAAGAGAGGGCGCTGCCATTGCAACCTTCCCTTTGATCAGATAGTCCGATTTACGCACTTCTACATGATTGTTGTCCAACTGTTATCCACCTCTGATTTTGAGAATATTTTACAGTTTTGTTGTAAGGAATAGTTATGGATTACATTTTCAAAATTTCGATGTTCCAGGATCAACATAGATGTTAATCCAGGATTGCATCATACTTGGCAAAATCATGACATGCATGCAGCATCATACTGGTTTTGTGGTTCAGTGTCATATGTATGTGTGTGTGTGTGTGTGTGTGTGTTTTCAGGCTCGTCTCCCAGTGAAGTGGATGGCTCCAGAGAGCATTTTCGAGTGTGTTTATACGGTTCAGAGTGACGTCTGGTCTTACGGGATCATGCTGTGGGAGATTTTCTCACTGGGTGAGTCAGGAACACAACAGCAAAGGTTAAAGAAGCTCTGATTTAGTTTTTTGAGTTGTCAGAAAGGTTTGTCTGCTTCTCATTTCCATGCATGTAAAGATGCTGCTGAATGGGCCAACGCAGTCACATGACAATTCCTGTGCTGTATTTTCTTGAATTAGTGGCGCATAGTGGAATTTTGTATTATGTTATTTGTTCCTCTTTGTATATTCTGCTCTTGCATCAATGATGGTTATTTTTGCGAGAGGGGCTTTCTTAAAAACACACACCTTCATTTGAATGAGATTGTACAAGTTGTTATGCGTAAAAAATTGTATTAATAATACCATTGGATGCAAGTTGAATTGTTAAGCATTTGACAAATGCTTTTATCAGAGGTAATTTTATGTTAATTTTTATATGAAAGTAATTATTAAATTTTTTTAGCAACACTGGTCATAAAAATAAATGGCGGGGGGTGTTGTTCAATGCAATTTAAAAAAATCAAATCATGTGCTCATACTAATATTACTGTAGGCTAGCATGAATATATTTTTACATTTGGAGTTAAAATTTTCAGTTTTAGAAATGTTTTTGTGTCATTTTTAGTTTTTATACCAGCGTAATTTTAAAAAATTAATTAACAAAGCAAATTAATCATGCAGTTTTAAGATATGTGGTTTAAGTTTTAAATATAATAATCCAGATTTTGTTAATTTTTTTGTAATTTGTGTGAAAAATATTAATGTTGTTAATGCTTTTGTAGTGCTTTTTAGTGGATTATTTTGAATTCATTTTCAATTTATTTTTATAATAATGATAATAATGATAGTAATAATAATATAATTAATAATATTATTAATAATTTAATTAATATGTTATATGTTATAAAAATTATTAGGGCTCTCAATTTCACAAATATAATAATAATTGTGAAATTGAAAGCCCTAATATTTTATATTTTCTTTTAAATATTTTTTTAAAAACACAAAATGTAATGTTTGAAGCATTTGCAAATGCTTTTATCAGAAGAAAATGATATAATCACTGTATATTTTTACTGTAATATATAGTTGCATGTTAATTTTATTATGAAATGTATTTTTTTATTATTTACTAGCAATACTGGTAATAAAATAAAATTTGGGGGGTGCATAAAGTTTTTAAGAAAATAGTTGTCCAATGCAATTTTTGAAAAATAATCAAATCATGTGCTCACATTAATATATTAGTATATTACTGTTGAAAAATATTTTTTGTGTAGTTTTTAGTTTGTATGCTGGTATATTTTTTAATAATGTCTATGTAATTAACAAAGCAAAATAATCATGCAGTTTAAGATGGTGTTTTAAGTTTTAAATATAATCAAAAAAAAATTATTTTTTTATTTGTGTGAGAAATATTCATGTTGTTAATACGTAATGTAATGCTTTTTTTAATAAATTATTTAGACTTGTATTATTCATTTCAAAAGCAAGTAAATTACTGTTGGCTAGTATGAATGCATTTTGAATTTTCAATGGATTTTCAGTTTTGTTTATTTAATGTTGGTATTAATCATTTTGGTTTAATTAACAAAACAAATTAATAAAACGTTTTAGATGTATGATTTGAGTTAAGAATATAATAATAAAATCTAATAAAAATAATAATTTTACTATAATAATAATAATAAATTGGGGGATTTGTGTGCAAATAGTATTAACATTTTATTGACATTAAATAAAACTTTATTAACATTAAAAATGCTTTGTAATGCATTGTTATGCTTTTTTGTGAATTATTTTGAATTCAGCTGAGGTCAGAGTAAAACATAAAATGTCTTTTTGTTTTTTTTCCAAACATTATTTGCACTCAAATTTGAGCAAAAAGCAGATTGCATGGTTCGAAATGCAAAATCAGTGTAAAAGATAAAGACAGTCATGTGTTCCTTTGTGCTGGCTGATGCTGATATACAGAAGTTGATATGATTCTCTCAAGCCAGGCTCATTCGAATTACATACCCCTATATACATTTCTGGAGAGCACGAAATATGTCCCAGGAGCTAGGTTTTTTGCAAATCCATCAGAGGCCACTGTGTACGCTTTTTGAGATCTCAAATTTCTCTCGCGAGTGCCGTTCACGCCTGCTATTTACACCAGAGACTGCTTTCGGCTGAGTGACTGACCGACTAACCGATCCTCCACCTTCCTCCTTCCCTAAACCCAACCGATATTGTTTCGAAAAACAATCCAGAATCCAGAACATTCCGCCTGATTTTTCACCACACTTTTAGATTTTACCACATTCTCTCATTATTCTCATTATTTACTACTTTATTTAATTTCGTGGCTTCTGTTTTTGTTTTACCTGCTTTCTGGAACCATTCTTCACCAGATTCGAACACCATTGTCATGGTCAACTCCGCTCTGCATCTCAAGTCCACCGACGTACGCGGCAGGCCACTGGACTAACTTGTAACAGTGGGAAAGCCGTCCTCATGGACATAATCCGTTAGCTGCTAAACACGAAAAGCAACGACGTCATACCGCCCCGTAGCATTAGTTTTTAAGACGGAATGCAGCCATAAGTACCTCTGGCTCCATAATTCACGATCTCCAAAAATGTATACGGGGCTACGTTTTCAGAATGAGCCTCTGTTTGATTCTCTGTGCTTTTGCTTTGAACATGATGAACATCAAATATCTAAAACGTATGTTTCTGCAGGAAAGAGTCCGTATCCAAACATCCTGGTGGACTCAAAGTTTTACAAAATGATCAAGTGTGGCTATCAGATGTCCAGACCTGACTTCGCTCCTCCAGAGATGTAAGGAATCTTTATTAGGAATATTTACCACCATTTAAAATGATAGCGATAATAATACAATACAATGCAAATTTGTAGCAATGTCAAATATCTAACAACAATGTGCATTATTAGTCATTCATTTTCCTTCGGCTTAGTCCCTTATTTATCAGGGGTTGCAACAGCAGAATGAACCGCCAACTATTCCAGCATATGTTTTACGTAGCAGATCCCCTTCCAGCCGCAAGCCAGTACTATGAAACACCCATACACTGTCACATTCACACACACACACACTCATACACTACGGCCAATTTAGCCTACCCAATTCACCTATAGCGCCTGTGTTTGGACTGTGGAGGAAAGCAGAGCACCTGGAGGAAACACATGCAAACATGGGGAGAACATGCAAACACAGTGCTAACCACTGAGCCAAACGTTTGCTTACCAACACACAAAATACTGTATATCTTTTGTGTTCAACAGAAAAAAAAACATATAATAATAATTAATAACAATAATTAATAATAATAACAATTAATAATAATAATAATAATAATAATAATAATAATAATAATAATAATAATAGTAATAATAATAATAATAATAATAATGATAATGATAATAATAATAATAATAATAATAATAATAATAATAGTAATAATAATAATAATAATAATAATAATAATAATATTAATAATAATAATAATAATAATAATAATAATAATAATAATAACAATAATAATAATAATAATAATAATTCACTGACGGTGATTAAACTGGGAGTGAATTGTCATTTTGGAGTGAACTGTCTCTTTAATGGAAACGGCAAAACGCAAAAACAATTAGTTAAACTCTAAACAAAACCTAAAAAAGAAGAGAAAAAGAGTGTGATTTTCCGCATCTGTCTGTGACTCACATCTGCGTCTCTGCCCTTTATTTGAACAGCTCTTCAGTTCTGCTTGTTAAACACATGATCCCACTGCCAGGCCTGGATTTTCCACACATTTCACACTCATCCTCTCAGCTTTAGCCACGCCGTCTGACTCTTTACTGTACACCAGCATACTGTTAACTAGATGTTATGAATAAAACATAAATATTAGATGTACAAAATATCTATGTATTGCATGTAAAAGTAAAAATGTGTTATTTATAAAAAATACGGTCTGTAGGTGTATATATATATATATACATATACATATTTGAGGTCAGAATTATTAGACCCCCTGAATTTTTAGCCCCCCTGTATATTTATTTCCCCAATTTCTGTTTAACGGAGAGCAGATTGTTTCAACACATTTCTAATCATAATAGTTTTAATAAGTCATTTCTAATAACTGATTTATTTTATCTTTGTCATGATGACAGTAAATAATATTTGACTAGATATTTTTCAAGACACTTCTATACAGCTTAAAGAGACATTTAAAGGCTGAACTAGGTTAATTAGGTTAACTAGGCAGGTTAGGGTAATTAGGCAAGTTATTGTATAATGATGGTTTGTTCTGTAGACTATTGAAAAAATATAGCTTAAAGGGTCTAATAATTTTGTCCTTAAAATGGTGTTTTAAAAATTAAAAAACTGCTTTTATTCTAGCCGAAATAAAACAAATAAGACTTTCTCCAGAAGAAAAAATATTATCAGACATACTGTGAAAATGCAGTTTAATAATTGACACAATAGTAGTTTGAAATAATATAATGTATAAGAAATAATTAATACATTGAGAAATAAGTCTGTAAAATAACAGAACATGCACTGGCGGTTTATCATAATTCACAACTTCGACCCAGACAATATATCACTTTATACTATTAAAAATGTCAGTAAAAGTTCCTTTTCAAGGTTGAAAGTTGTTGGAAGAAAGATTAAAGTGCCATCATCCAATTCAAAACCATAAATAAACAAGAAAAAATAACTTGAATCACAAATATAAGTCAGTATACAAATTCGTTCATTCATTTTCTGTTCGGATTAGTCCCTTTATTAATTAGGGGTCGCCACAGCGGAATGAACCGCCAACTTATCCAGCATATGTTTTACGCAGCGGATGCCCTTTCAGCTGCAACCCATCGCTGGGAAACATCCATACACACTTGTTCACCCTCATACGCCACTGACAATTTAGCTTACCCAATTCACCTGGGCTGCGTCCGAAACTGCCTACTACTCAGTAGGTACTGTATTTAAATTTTAAACGTACTACTCGGCCGTTGGAAAAGTACGTTCTTTAAAGTATGAATGGAATTCGTACGTACTACAACCGCCATTTTGGTCTCGTGACTCACCCGCGTCAGTTGAGTTGCTTTACTCCCATTCATGAATTCGCTCGCGGGGCATCATGGGATAGCGCAGCATGCATGGGATGCGCACTCCAGAATCTCGCCGGAAGTAGTAAGTCATCTTGGTACTTCTCGCATACTGATTTTTGAATTCTATCAATTCGGACATACTACTCGGCTCACATACTGATTTTATCGTGCTATATAGTATGGAAGTATGCGGTTTAGGATGCAGCCCTGTACCCCATGTCTTTGGACCTGTGGGGGAAACCGAAGCACCTGGAGGAAACCCACGGGGAGAACATGCAAACTCCACACAGAAATGCCAACTGACCCAGCTGGGGTCGAACCACGATCTTCATGCTGTGAGGCGATTGTACTAGCCCAGGGGTGCTCAATCCTGTACCTGGAGGTCTACCTTCCAGCAGATTTCAGTTGCTACCCATATCAAACACACCTGAACCAATTAATTAGGACCTGAACACCACTTGATAATTACAGGCAGGTGTGTTTGATATGGGTAGCAACTGAAATCTGCAGGAAGGTAGATCTCCAGGTACAGGATTGAGCACCCCTGTGCTAGCCATTGCGCCACCGTGCTGCCCTTAATATACAAATACAAGTGAAAAATTGTAACAAGAGTACTAAATTTAAAATATAAACGCCTACTCAAAATATTACGAATTATTGTATTAGTTTAAAAATAAAATAACTCAAGCTAAATTAATGTTTTGTGAAAGGCTTTTATAAGCAAAAACCTATAATAATAAAAATGTAAAAAACAAAATACTGAGAGAATTTAAACTTAAATTATACAATCAAAGCTAATTCAAAATATTAATAATTATCATAATAATATGCAAATAAATCAGTAGAAAAATTACATTCTTTAAATATATTTGCATGGCGTTAAAAGTAGTTTCAGAGATTATTAAATGATCTTTCTGCAAGGGTTAACAATACTGTTACAGAGTAGATCATTTAATATGTGACCCTGAACCACATAATCAGCATCTGAGAACTGAACTAATAAGCTTTTCACTGATGTATAGTTTAGTAGAATGGAAAAGTTTTGGTTGAGATATACTTATTTTAATCATTTTGAATCTGAGATTAAAAAAAAAATGAAATATTGAAGTGCTTAGAAATGCAGAAAAATACTCATAAAATAAACTTTTTAATTATTTGCAAGTGAAAATGTGCAAGACATACTAAATATTAAAATGATTTTTAATATAAATTTTTAATATAAAATTAAATATAAAAAATCCATCATTTTGGTGCATACTATTGCTTATATATTGTTGGTTATTGCTGAAAAATATACCTGTGTGACATAAGACTGGTTTGTGCTCTACATATTCAGTATCAAAATATGTAAACAGCATTTTTCATAACTTTGAAACAACTCTGAAGAGTTAAAACATGGTTATAACAGAGTTATGAAACAGAAGTGAAGAGAATTGATTGAGCTGATGTTCTCATGGAGAGATGATGTGATTGTATATTTAGATTCACAGCAGTAGAGCTGCGTGCAAAACACAATGTGACCTAAAAACAAGCGTTTAGTTACGCTGCCATCAACTCTTTGAGTCTCAAAGCAATAAAAAAAAACTTTCATGTGTGGGTTTCACTTTGAAAATTTGTCACAGAAAAAATAGATTGCACTTTATTTAACAGTGGATGTGCTTAATGTGTACTAGAGCTGAACGATTCTGGCTAAAATGAGAATCGTGATTTTTTTCTTAAAATAAAGGTCACGATTTTTCTCACTGTTCTGTAGATGTAAAATAAAGGTATGGTAAAAACAAACATGGCACAACATCGATAATAATATTATGTGTAGGTCTACTGGTTTCTATAAATAATTCTATTCTACTTATAATAATTCTGATGTTGAATTATTATGTTTGAGATATATGCTTGCAATCTGTCATATTAGACAATTTTATTCACTGGTAAAATCAGACATTTGCCATTATCAGATTATATTCAACAATATATAGGCTAGAGTAGTTATTCAGACATTGTAAACATTTATTTTCATGCACAACTGTGTGTTCGATATGAAAAAAAAAAAAAACATATCACATGCTTGTCGTAATCATAACTCTAAAATGTGATACGATCATTTAAATAAAGTCCACACTTTCGGTTTCTTTCTGACTGCTAAGTGCTTGTTCATACTCCGCGCGCGGCTCCCAAACGATCACTCACAAACTGAATATTATTTACAACTGTATTACCTGTTACTCGCAACATATGCAGGTTCTGTTCACTAAAGAAGACGTGCGCGCGTCTATCATTAAGTAGAGCGCGCGCGCCCTCTCTGTGATAACAGCTCACGGTCAGCACTCACATCACGTGTGATTTCCCGTTCGCGAAAACATCATTATATTAAGACAATATTGACATTTGTAGGTAAATTATAGCTTGTGAATACAGTATGTGACATATTCAACATCATTTAGAGGTGTCAATCTCACTGAGCATCGTGTGTAAAACAATGAAAAGACTCGTGCAGCCGCCTTTTCTTCTCTCCTGAACTTGAAAATATGATTGCCAGAATCGTAGAAATGCTGGATTAAGATCGTTTAGGGGGTCGAATCAAGATCACAACCCTTTAACGATTGATTGTGCAGCTCTAATGTGAACTTATATAAGATATTTTTCACAGTGTTTCCTATTGTTTATAATATATATTTACTTATTTTTTTTATGTATATTGAAAAAGTTGAGGGTGGCACATTGGCTATCACTGTCACCTTACAGCAAGCAGGTTGCTGGTTCGTGTCCCAGCTGGGCCAGTTGGCATCTCTGTGTGGAGATTCTGATTGGTGAATCATAATATGAATAATGCGGGACCAGCTGCAGCAATCATAAGCACGTGATCCTCTCGAAACTAGTTTCGCGTAAATAGACGAGTGAACATTTCGTCCCCCCGAGACACCAACAACAGGCGCTACTTCCTAATCACTCCCCTACAAGAGAAAGCTCCTGATTGGTTAACGCAGCTCGAATGTCTGCTGAAGTTTTTCAACTCAAGCGATTCACGTCAGATGCGCAAAACTGATTTAATCGTGTGAATTACGTCATTCGCGTTGCCTCATTCGAGGGTATTGCGCCGCAGGATTTCTATTTGCACCTTTGCATTGACTTAACATGTAAATCAATCGTGCTTGACACGTCTAATGTGAACGAAGCATAAGACAGACTATACAAGTAAGTTTACATAAGACAGAATAATATTGTGCAAGATTTTGTGCAAAAGAGCTATTTATGGTTGAAGAGAAAGAGTGTGCAGGGTTGGCGCGTTCTCCCCCTGTCCTCACTTTCATCCGCAGGACCCCCGAATGCTTCCCCCCTGTTCTTCACTTGGCGAACTTGTCACTTTCTGGTTGAGGGCAGCATGATCATCATTTGCCTAGAGCGCCAGTTTATCTTGATGTGGCTAGCAGCTGATGGCCATTGCTCCGCTGCACCTTGGTCCCACATTAATTTCAAAGGAGTGCTACCCTGTACCAAAATGGCGGCTTTATTGACGTATTCCTTCCAATAGACAAAAATAGCATAGATATTTACATTAGATGTCGCCTAAGGTCTCAGTTTTGTTTGCTGTTGGTTGCTAGGTAACCAATACTACAGTCGGCAGCTCTAGCAACTTGATTTTGTACTTGCATTTGAGCTTTTTTCTGTAACCTTTGAAGAGGTTTGCTTCACTTAGAAAGCCGTCTATAGACACAATGTAAAGATAATTAACACAAACCGACAGTGAATGCAGTATCTTATGTATTTTTATTGGTGTAAATCCGATTAAGGCTTTGTTTGTGCGCACAGGTACACGATCATGAAGATGTGCTGGAACCTGGACGCCGCTGAGAGACCCACATTCAGCAAGATCAGCCAGATGATCCAGAGGATGCTGGGAGAAACATCCGAGCAACAGGTAAACTCAAAACCCGCACTCAAAAACACCGTCAAGCTCAGACCTACTTATTATCTACAATAACTTAGTAATTGTTATGAATACCCTGCTGAAAAATCCAGCTTAAACCAGTCTAGGCTGGTTGGCTGATTTTAGCTGGTCAACCAGGCTGGTTTTAGAGGGGTTTTGGCCACTTCCAGGCTGGTTTCCAGCCATTTCCAGCCTGGTTTTAGCTGGTCAGGCTGGGAGATGACCAGCTAAAACCAGCTTGACCAGCCTAGCCAAGCTGGGAGTCCAGCCAAAACCAGCTATATCCAGCTTAAACCAGGCTGGTCAAGCTGGTTTTTTGCTGGATTTGGCTGGTCATTTTCCAGCCTGACCAGCTAAGACCAGGCTGGAAATGGCTGGAAACCAGCCTGGAAGTGGCCAAAACCCCTCTAAAACCAGCCTGGTCAACCAGCTAAAACCAGCTAACCAGCCTAGGCTGGTTTAAGCTGGATTTTCCAGCAGGGTATTACACTGAGGATGTCATTTTAGTCATTGAGCAGGAGCTTTTGTCCACAGAGACTTACAATTAAGGAGGCATTCAGCTATTTAATGATGTACTCCACAGAAAGAGTGTTATTTTCAACCCAGTCCGGTGTCTGTGAGTAACACGTGACTCATATCCTGTTTTAATCCTTCACAGGACACTCAGGAGTACAAGAACATCCCGACTGAAGCTGAAGCCGAGCAGCAGCTGGAGTCATGTGACCCCGTGAAGCATGAAGACGAGTCATTCGAGACATCATGTGACCAGGAAGAAGAGGACCAGCCGCTCATGAAGCCCAACAACTACCAGTTCTGTTGAGCGTCTAGAACTAATCAACCAAGTAACTAACAGCACAACAGCTGCAGACACACACGTAAAGCCAGCATTCGTTCTGTCTGTCCTCGTATACACTCACTGGGTGATTTCACATGCTGGTTCTGGGTGATTTATATCTCGTAAACAGTCCTGAAGAAGTCTTTTCAACTCTAGTATTCCTTGTTTTCCAGTACAAATATCTAAATGTTCTCAAATCAAGAGATATTTACTGTAATGAGTCAAATCAATTCATGAAATCTTATTTTAATAAGAAGTATTTTAACATTTTACACAAGAAGTCTTGTGTTTTTTAATTCAATGTATTTTCTGACACCATCGGCTTGAATTTTCCAGATTAATTAAGGTAACACTTTCATTTAAGAACCAATTCCCAGTATTAACTACGGCCTTATTACCAGCTTATTAATGAAATATTGGCTGTTTATTAGTACTTATAAAGTATGATCTTATTGTACATCTGTAATCCTGCCCAGTCTAAACCCAACTTTAATCATTATTAACTGGCAGCAAATAAGGAGTTTATTGAGCTAAGTCTGAATAGCAAAAATTGAACCTAAAAATAAAGTTTGATCTTATATAATTATAAAAGTGTGATCTTAATTATTTACATAATCCACATTTATATTTACGTAATCTCTTAGTAATGTCTTTGTATATGACCCTCTATATGTAACTTGATTTTAAGGGGGCTCGTCCAGGATATAAACACACACACACACACACACACACACACACACACACACATATATATATATATATATATATATATGTATGTATGTATGTGTGTGTGTGTGTGTGTGTGTGTGTGTGTGTGTGTGTGTGTGTGTGTGTGTGTGTGTGTGTGTGTGTGTATGTGTGTGTGTGTGTGTGTGTGTGTGTGTGTGTGTGTGTATATATATATATATATATATATATATATATATATATATCCTGAATCCTGCCCTAAACCCAACTACATCCTATTAATGAGCAGCAAATTAAGGGTTAATTAAGCTAAAAGTCTTAGTAAAATTAAGTCTTAATGTAAAATAAAGTCTTAATTATGTATATAGTTCACTCATTTATGTTTACTTTAGGTAATATCTTTCTATATCACCTTCTATTTGCAAGGTTATAGCATCATTTTGGGGGGCTCGTCCGGTACATATATATATATAAATACTCCCCTAACTATTAATAAGCAGAAAATTTGGAGTTTATTTAGCTAAAAGTCTTAGTTAATGGTTTGTTAATAATGACAATTGTTCCTTAAAATAAAGTGTGATCTTAATTATTTACATAATCCACATTTATATTTACGTAATGTAATCTCTTTGAATATGACCCTCTATATGCAAGGTTGTAACTTGATTTTAAGGGGGCTCGTCCGGGATACAAAAAAAAAAAAAAAAAAAAAAAAAAAAAAAATATATATATATATATATATATATATATATATATATATATATATATATATATGTGTGTGTGTGTGTGTGTGTGTGTGTGTGTGTGTGTGTGTGTGTGTGTGTGTATGTATATATATATATATATATATATATATATATATATATATATATATATATATATATATATATATATATATATATATATGAGAGAGAGAGAGAGAGAGAGAGAGAGAGAGAGAGAGAGAGAGAGAGAGAGAGAATCAATATACAGATATACATCTCAAATAAATTAATCCTTATTTTTACACTTTTATATATCTTATTCTACATCCCAAATCCTGTCCTAAACCCAACTACCACCTATTAATGAGCAGCAAATTAAGAGTTAATTGAGCTAAAAGTCTTAGTTAATGTAATGTAAAATGAAATGTTATCCTAATTATTTATATAGTTCACTCATTTATATTTGCATTACATAATCGCTTTCTATATCACCTTCTATATGCAAGGTTATAACATCGTTTTGGGGGGCTCGTCAGGGATCTACATTTTTAAATGTTCTTTAAAAAGTATCATGAGACATTTTACATTTCAAATATATGAAACCTGATTTATTTATTTTTTTTAAACATCTTATTCTACATCCCTAATCTTGCCTTGAACTTAACTACTACCTTAATAACTAGTTACCGAGTTAATTGAGCTAAAAGTTTTAGTTAATGGTATGTTAATAGTGACATTTGTACCCTAAAATAAAGTGTGATCTTAATTATTTATATAGTTCACTCATTTTTATCTACGTAATGTAATCTCTTTGTATATGACCCTCTATGTGCAAAGATTTAAAATGATTTTGGGGGCTCGTCCGGGAATTTTTTTAAAATTCTTTCAAAGTATCATGAGACATTTTACATCTCAAATAAAGTAATCCTGATTTATGAATTTTTACATATCTTTTTTTATACATCCCTAAGCCTGCCGTAAACCCAACTACTAACTTAACTAATAATAAGCAGCAAATATGGAGTTAATTGAGCTAAAAGTCTTAGTGAACGGTTAATAGTGACAATTGTACCTTAAAATGAAGTGTGATCTTAATTATTAATATAGTTCACTCATTTTTATTTACGTTACGTAATCTTTTTCTATATGACTCTCTATATTGCAAGATTATTATTTGATTTTAGGGGGCTCGTCCGGGATATTAAAAATATATATTTAAAAAGTATCATAAGACATCTCGAATAAGTTAACCCTGATTTATAAATGTTTAGATATGCTGGAAAACAAAGTAAAGGCATGTTTAAAAAAACATCCGGTTTCACTTCCCCACCAAATGCGTAAGTGGACAACCAGAAGCTCCAATCTGTGTGGCCGAATGTGCTTTTTTTGGTAAACTAATGTCTTTTTGTGTTTTGTTACTTGAACTTCTCCGTCATGGATGTTTGGAAAGCAGCTTGTTCAGCGTTTATATGTGCAAACGCTGCATGTTTCACTTCCACTTTACATGCACTTCTTCTCCAGTCACCGGAAACAAACAAACAAACGAACATCCGCCGTCACATAATATTAAGTTTTCCATCAGACAATCAGGATTTGTTTGATCTGTATGTAAGAAGTGCAGAGTACAGATACTAACTCCATAATCTGTGTCTCCTGCTCCAGTTCTTAATCTAAACACTCGAGGTCAGCGCAGGTTTGCAGGACACGTTCCCGTCTACAGATTAACTGCAGGTCAATCAGCCGTTCTCATTAACCACAACCCTAAAAAGCCTTCAGAACGATACTGACTGACCGCACACATTTATTAGGAAGGAAAACTAAGCATTTGTTTTTCCTGTAACTTAAAATGACAGCTAAACAAGTTTCATTTCATGTTATTGTGAACACATACTGCCACGCTCTTGTTAATCATTAATCATTGTCTCCTCCCCGTTGTTTACCCTCATTGTTGCCACCTGTATAAATGACCCTTGTGTTTCAGTCAGTGTTGTTAATGTTGCTCTTTTGTACGAGCTCTTGTCGGTTTCCCTGTTCATGTTCTTTGGTGGATTATGGAATAGTATTCTTACAGAAAGTGGATCCTCTCAGCATGTTTTTACCTTCACACATATAGTTCTAGAATATACAGTTCTCAAAATAAGTCTTTACCTTTATCTCTCCAAGTATTTTCCTTCAATGTAGCATTAAACACTGCCAGAGAAACTTTATAGGTAGCATTAAAATGTGATTAACTAGAGGTCTACTTTATAAACAGAAAAGACCCTGATGTTTTCTTTCCGAAAGCACAAACTGCCATGTTTATATGTTCATATTATGAGAAATGTTTATGCAATACTTTTTTAAATGGTCAAAGTGTTATATATGAGATGTATTCATTATAACGATGTGATTTCTTACTGTTTATCTGTGTGCTAACATTACTCTAAAGCCTTCTCGTGAGCGAATGCTATACCTTAGATATACTCACAATTGTGGGGTTTTATTTTTCATACAAATACTGCTGAATGCTACTAATAAACTGTGTAAATGTCAGCGAACGTTGTTGTCTGTGAAATTACGTTTTCTTTCGGAGTGCTGTCGGTGGCTGCTGATCAGTAAATGTCTCATGATAATAAACACTGTCAGTTTTCAGACTTTCACTTTTCTGTGTTTCTTATTTACTGCAGCCAGTCTGGGGTGACGCGGTGGCTCAGTGGTTAGCACTGTCGCCTCACAGCAATAAGATCGCTGGTTCAAGCCCCAGCTGGGCCAGTTGGCATTTCTGTGTGGAGTTTGCATGTTCTCCTCATGTTGGCGTGGGTTTCCTCCGGGTGCTCCGCTTTCCCCCACAATCTAAACACATGCACTATAGGGGAATTTAATATGCTAAATTGGCCGTAGTGTATATTCTGTCATCACAGGAATAACAAATTAACATCAGACATCAGTCATAATATTGTCTATCACTCACAAGGACCTTTTAATAAATATATGTTGTACATTAATTAATATTAATATTTATGTGCATAATTTCTGTAGTATGTTTTTCATGGAAAATGTCAATAGCTTAATTGCTTTTTGTCCAATCATTGTAGGAGCAAGAAATTAACATCAGCCATCATTCATAATATTGTCTATCACTCACATGTACCTTTTCATAAATATATTTTGTAAATGCATTTATATTAATATTTATGCGCATAATTTTTTACAGTACATTTTCTTCATGGTGGTTGTAAATATCTTAATTTCTTGTTGTCCAATCATTGTAGGATCAACAAATTAAAATCAGCCATCAGTAATAATGTTGTCTATCACTCGTAATTAAGTTTTTATACGATCAGCAAATATGATTGTTGTATAATTATATACGTAATAAATGTACTATATACACTGTATATTTCTTTACTTGGGCATAAGTAAATATTACATGCACTACATCGTGGCCAATTTCAAGACAATTTTATATAAAAACTACATTTCATACATAATGGGAATTCAACAATAAATGCATTACATCTCATATTTCATCATATTATCATGTAGTTTCATTGATTACTAACACAAATCACACAGCCTCTGCTGGTCTTCCGATTGCAGATCTATATTGACACATGGAACATGAAAAACATTGGCAAAAATCTCACTGAATCGGTAATGAAAGTACAACTTACTTACTATGTAATATGTAGCAATTATGCATAAAAAATATGCAAGTACATGTAAGTAAAACAAAAGTATTTTCCAAAGTGAATAATAGCTACGTGAATACCCAAGTGCATAGATTCTCATTTTGGATTTTTTTTTCTTTTCTTCCACATAAGCAGCACTCATCTCTTGACACTGTAATTAAGGGAGAAAATGCCTAATTGTTATGATTGTGTTTATTCAAACAACTTTTCTATTAAAATAATGTAAAAAAAAAAATATGCATAATATTTTGAATTGAATAGATGTTAATTATAACGATTGCATTGAAAAGTAATTTATTTCATATTTAAAGATGTATTTCTTTATTATGTTAACAAAGAGCCAAAGGCTACAATAATTTTCTCCCATATGGTGGCCCTCAATCCTGTATAAATAAAATACTAAAGAAAGGAAAAATATCTTCGTTGTCTTTAAATTATTTCTTTATTCCCATGTACTTCAGCAGAGTAATCGTTTAAAGGATGGACCAGTGGTGAAGTTCACAAGTCTCACAAGTCTCAATCTAACCAATTGCTTGCGTATATCTTTAAATAATAAGGAAAAATAAAGAAGAAGGGGAAAAAAACACAGATTTTTTCATATTACATATGAACATGTATACTTTGTGTGTGTTTATGTATACATGATAGCTCAAAATCGCTATAAAATCTAATATGTTTTTAAATTTTTTTCTTTAATATATAGCCTTACATAAACATGTCTGTGATATATCGTTTGCAGATTATTTTATTAACATTAAGAACTTTTTTATTAATAATGCTTGAGCAGTAATCGAAAGGCATTACTACCTTTTTGAATTACACAAAAGACTTAGATAACAATCGATTTACATGACCATCTTTTCACTCTCGTTAATAATAATAATAATAATATTAATAATAATAATAATAATACAATATATATACAAATTCTTGTTTAAATACCAGTAGTCTTGGGATAATTTTGAAAAATATACATTTATGAATAACTTTTTAATAATGACAACAATTAACATTGAGAAGTGAAGACTAGGCAGTGAACGTTAGCAGCCCGAATTAAGAAACTGCTAATCGGCTAGTTGCACAAGATGGCGCTGGTGAGCTTCAGAGACGCCTGTGTGCGTCTTCACGTCCGGTCTATGAGCTAGGAATAGGTAAAGATTTAGCATTTTGGTTACCAAAAATGGACATGTTTTATTTTTTTTTTATTTATTTTTTTTTCATATATAAAGCATTTCATCAGCTACACTGCTGCATACCGGTGCACTCATTTGCTTTCTTTCCCTGTTGATGCTGAGGTTCGTGCTTAGTGATTACTCATATTCCGTTGGGATCATGTCTTTTTTTTGTAGCGGTCATTTCTCTACACGGACCCTCTGTGTTGTGTTATAATTATTTTTAATTATTATTACAGTTTTTACAATCGCTATGACAGTTTTTTTTTCAATAGCAAGAGTCCTAAATTCTTAACATGGTTAGCACAACATCCGTCTTTGTTGGCTATACAATTAACACATTTCTTGTTGCTTTGAGGCAAAATGCATCCAGTTAACACCAATTTAAAATGCTTGAACTTCTTTTACAAACAAGCACAACCACCCTGCTGAAAAATCCAGCCTAAACCAGCCTAGGCTGGTTGGCTGGTTTTAGCTGGTCGACCAGGCTGGTTTTAGAGGGGTTTTGGCCACTTCCAGGCTGGTTTCCAGCCATTTCCAGCCTGGTCTTAGCTGGTCAGGCTGGGAGATGACCAGCTAAAATCAGCTTGACCAGCCTAGCCAGGCTGAGAGCCCAGCCAAAACCAGCTATGTCCAGCTTAAACCAGGCTGGTCAAGCTGGTTTTAGCTGGATTAAGCTGGTCATTTTTCAGCCTGACCAGCTAAGACCAGGCTGTAAATGGCTGAAAACCAGCCTGGAAATGGCCAACACCCCTCTAAAACCAGGCTGGTCAACCAACTAAAACCAGCCAACCAGCCTAGGCTGGTTTAAGCTGGATTTTTCAGCAGGGGCAAGAGCAAAACAATAGCCTATGTTACAGTCAAATTTACAAATGCTTTCATTTTTGGGTAAATTTGGTTTTATATCCACACATTCGTACGTTGTCCTTAATAATATATCTTCAGTCTTGGCTAATTCCAAATAGGAATTACTTAGATGTGATTTCAGGCTCAATATTCAAGCTAGCGTGGTAAACAATATAGGGAGCGTGTCACAAGTTGTCTGTTCAAAAATGAACAAATGTGCGAACATAAAACCAACTTCACCTCAGTAACTTTAGCGAAGAGCGGGGCACAAAGTAACACTTTTTTGCTTTTGGCCAAATAATAAACAAAGTAATAGGGTTAGACAACACATCTTTGTTTTTTTTGTTTTTTACCAACAACACACAAGCCTCTCAAATGAGCACTGGTTTTATGATCGCCGGAGTTGGTTTCTGTGCAGCATTGCCAAAAGTGCCAGGAGTACTATTTACCCCACCTGTGAGGCAAGTTGTAAAAGACAGAGGGTTAGTTGTAAAGCAGATTTCACACAATTAATTTAATCCAGTTTACTTTACAGTGTTTTACAATCTCCATTTTTTTCAAGACATTAACAAGTTGCTTAAATTCTTAACATGGTTAGCACAACATCTGTCTTTGTGGGCTATACAATTAACACATTTCTTGTTGCTTTGAGGCAAAATGCATCCAGTTAACACCAATTTAAAATGCATGAACTTCTTTTACTCACAAGCTCAACCAAGACCAGAACAATGTCATGTTACAGTCAAATTTACAAATGATTTAACACAGTATGCCAGAACAGATAACACCATGTTCTACAGAACAGATATAGGCAAAAGTCAAAGTGAACAGCTGTTTATATTGTGAATTGAAACACAAATTTGAAAATGCAAAAAACTCTTAGTGCCGTCTGAAATTTCCAATAAAAATGCATATTTTTTATAGCCTCCTTTGCTTATGTTGAGTTTTCACTTTAAAGATGACAAAAAGGGCTTATTCTACTCAATAAAAGAGATATTACTGAACCTACACACAGGAGTCTAATAAAAATGTTTATTTTAGAAGAAAATTTCAGAAGGAATTTAGAGGTTTTTGCCTCTGAACTATTAATATATTCCCTGTATTTTTTTTTTTTCATTGCCAATGAGAAACAGCTTATTTCAGTTATCCAAATACATAAATCACAGCTGATTCCCATCTAGGAACCCTACTCAAGTGTTGAGGTTTTTCCAATCACATGATCATAAAAGAGGCACAGTGAGCGCATCCAAGAACTCTGTCACCAATACATCCAGGTAAGGTTATGCAACACAGCCATTACAGTACTATACACAGTGTGTTTCGTAGTAAACTATACTCTATAAACCTAGAGTTCACTAGTACATACAGTAGATATAAAGTACAGTACAGCATTTATATACACTGTGTCTAATTACTTTTTAGAGTCATGGAGTTCGAGGCCAATCAAGTCCCACATGACATTATCTACAGTATGTTGGCTTCAACTTGGCGAAAAGGCGTCGCCATTGGAGAAACATAATAGGCCAAAAGGCCACAGTTACCGTGCCGGGCCAGAGAAGATATCAGGTGTGATGTGGATGAGAACATGTGGCTAAATGCAGAAGATTACTTTGTTTTTTAATTGTAATCACAGTGCTTTTTTTGTATATCTTGCAGTGATGTCCTTTTCCAAATAAAGTCTATGCTGCAGCAATTCTGTGTCTGTTTTTATTTATTTTTTTACATAAACTGTACATTTTATAAAGCTACTCTGAGATGGTCATTCAGGTTTTGTATTGCATTTCTGCAGCAAAAGAAGAAAAATGCCTGCATTTACTAAACCCATCAACACAAAGCTGTAAAGAGGCTTCAAATATAAGAGCAGAGCTGACAAATAAAATAATGCAGTTTAATGTCAGCTGATGAAAGTGTTTTTTATTGACAATGTGTTATGATTGACTGAATGTTTTGATTAATATTTGAATATGAAACATGTTTGCAGTGTTGTGTTAGACATGGTGTATTGTGTTAAGTTTATTTTTGTATTTTATACATAAGTTTTGGAGTTTAGTTTACAATATGTGATTTTGAGCATGAAATTAACTGTTTTGCCAATTGTGTGTTTTAGGTGTGTTGCTGAGTTAAGAGTTTAGCAAACTTGTTAAATGTATTGAAAAACTGTCATAGCCATCGGAAAAAACTAGAAAGAGTCTTGACAAAAACATGGTCTTGAGGTGATTTTATTTCACTCCTGCATAAAACACACAAACAGACAATCTCTCTCAATATCTGCTGAGTCTCTGTTTTGCATTTCCTCACAACAGACAGCAGCCAAGAGCAAAAGCTCTCAATATACACTCACGCTTTACAACATACACACAGTTTAAGTCAGAATTATTAGCCGCCCTGTTTATTTTTTTCACCAATTTCTGTTGAACGCAGTGAAGATTTTCTTCAACACATTTCTAAACATATTAATAACTCAATAACTAATAACTGATTTATTTTCTCTTTGCCATGATGACAGTAAATAATATTTGACTAGATATTTTTCAAGACACTTCTATACAGCTTAAAATGACATGTAAAGGCTTAACTAGGGTAATTAGGTTAACTAGGCAGGTGAAGGTAATTAGGCAAGTTATTGTATAACTATGGTTTGTTCTGTAGACTATCAAAAATAAAATTAGCTAAAGGGGGCTAATAATTTTGACCTTAAAATGTTATTTAAAAAATTAAAAACGGCTTTTATTCTAGCCTAAATAAAACAAATAAGACTTTCCCCAGAAGAAAAAATATTATTAGACATACTGTGAAAATTTCCTTGCCCTGTTAAACATCATTTAGGAAATATTTAAAAAAAGAAAAAAATTCAAAGGGGGGGCTAACTGAGATGTATAATAACAGAGATTTTAAATAGAAATAATAGAAATATACTTGTAGTAGGCCCTGATAATACAATAAATAATCTTCCTTAAATAAAAATATAATTTTCTCTACAGTAGTGTTTCTTAGATAATAATCAACATAGCCGCATACCACAAACATCAGGCAAACTCGGTATCGAGTGACAGCGAAGAACTGAATCTTCTAGCATGTACCATGTTTTATCAGAGTAAGCTGTCTAAAGGCAGCTCGCCCTATATAAGTGCTATTTAAGCTCATGTGTGCAGAGAAGTTTTGCAGAACAGAGGAAGTATGGGGTGCAGCCAATGAAGGACTGAAGAATGATTGACAAGTGACGAATTTCACTAAACTCCACCTGTTAATATCAGCTGCTTATATAAGTTGAAGTCGGAAAATGTAAACTGTTGCGCACCTCCTGAATGTAACTCTGGCATTGCATTGAGGATAACAGAATTCTGTGAATCGAGTTATTCATTTGTATCCAATAATTACTAAAATTGTTGACATTGAAGAAAAACCTCTCCTGGCCTTTTTTATTGAACATGCCTGGAATTTAATAAATTTTCCACCAATTTGGCGACTTCGACGTGGAAAAAGCTGGGAAGAAGAAATTATTGATCTGTCTAACTGCACTGACATCATTGTCGGTGAATTATAAAGTAAGCAGAAAACTTTTTAAATCAAATTTCTGCTATTGACTCAATTTAGTTTGATTGATTGATATGTAGGATCGATGTAGTTAGTTTGCTGATGTTGTGACCTTGTGTGCAAACAAAGAAATTGTAAAAGCAAAATAGTTTTGACATTCATTGAAATGAAACTGAAAAGACTTTTCAATGGATTGAAGAGAATTTACAATTGTGAACAGCGAGCATTTTGTTTTATGAAAAGTGTGAATGCTTATTTGTTGTCATTGCGAGTTATAGTGGACAGAAAAAAAAGAAGATATGTCTAGCAGGCTGTGTTTAAACGTGTTTGGTATTTAATTACATGTCATTTAAAATTGTGAAATTTCAGTAATTGTGAAAGGGCAAGAAGTTTAGTGATGCGGGTGAAATTTCGATTAAAGAAGATAAATATATTTTTGTTGATTGTGCTGCAAGTGCGAAGTACAGAAGTTTATTAGTGTGTGTAAAATACCCTGTGTAAACTTTATCCAAAAAGTGTCTCATGAGCATTAATTCAGCATTAGATTAATTTCTGAATCATTTTGTGACACTTAAGACTTAAGTAATGACGAAAGCTTTGATCAAAAAGGAATAAATCATATTTTAAACTACATTTACAAAAACAACTTTAAAGGTACTTGAAATTATTTTCGCTCAAATAATCACAGACAAGACCTGATAACCTGAACCTTGAGAGGTGCCTTAAATGATAAGCACTTGTTATGTGTATTGCCTTCTTGTTGATTTTTTATATGTTTTCACCTATTTTCCATTATAGGTTTAGGGTGAGTTATTATCTGAGTGAGGAAAAGTATTATATGTTTTATAGTTTTGCTTTTTGCATAAATAAACAATATTTTTTTCATGTTCATACACTTAGTATATACACATGTAATTTTTATTATTATTGTATTATTTGTATTATTGTTTTTTTTTTTTTTTTTTTTTTGCATAATTGGATAATTCAACTTTTTTTTTTAAATATACTCAAAAAACGTTTTTTATTACTAATATAGTTGATTCCAGGATTTTTTCTCCATCAGCTGATTTCTCGGTGTTGCCATCCTGTCAGACTAAAATGAAAAGTCTGTACTGAAAAAGTGAAGGATCAGTGAAAGTCATATTTCCTCTGAGAAGCTGAAGACTGCTGAACGGTTGAGCTGGAGCAGCTCTGAGATGTTCTTCATGCTCTTATTGCTCATCGGGACCCTGTTTGGTCAAGTTCAGGGTAAGAACATCACTTTAAACCTACAGGAAGATCTCGAGTTTTATTTTCTCTGATGGAGTTCACTCAAAACGTATAATTTTCTCACACTGTAAAAAAAAAAAATCTGTAATTTTACGGTTTATTTCCGGCAGCTGGAGTGCCGGAAAAAAGTAAAATTACGTCCGTTTAATCACAGAAATTTACACTCAGAACAACCTAGCAACCGCCTAGCAATGCCTTAGCAACCACATGAAACACCCAAGCAACACCTTAGCAACTACTCAGAACACCCTTGCAACCACATAGCAACAACACCTAATGACTCAGAACACCCCCGCAATGCATTAGTAACCACTCTGAACACAACCACCTAGCAAACGCTCAGAACACCCTGTCAACCACCAAGCAAGAAACATGCCAATCCTAAAAACATGCTAACGTACTTTTCTATGCCAACTGATTAAAAAAAAAAAAAAAAAACTACTTCAATTATTTAAAGGCCACCCCTTTTTCCACATATGAGTCTTTTGTGCCTCCAGAATGTGTCTGTAAAGTTTCAGCTCAAAACACTCATCAGACTATTTATTAGACCTTTCAGAAGTTTCTATGATGTATTATTATTATTAGTAGTATTATTATTATTCATCATATGATGCTTTGATGTAAATTTATCAAAGCAGGCTACTATTAACATTCATACCAGCAAAGTTTTTATTTATATCACCTAAATATCAGTCTAAATATACACAAGGTATTTTTCCCCAGTTATGAATAAAAAAAGCATTAAATTTTAGTTTTTATTTTAAATATTTCAAGGAGTTATTACAACTAACAGATACACATTATGGACATTATGAAGCAATGATTCTTGAACGACTTGGGGAATTCTTTATAACTATTGGCCAAGTTATAACTATTGGTCATTTATAACTAATGACCAAGTTGGCGTTTCTGTGTGGAGTTTGCATGTTCTCCCTGCTTTCGCGTGGGTTTCCTCCGGGTGCTCCGGTTTCCCCCACAGTCCAAAGACATATGTGGTACTGGTGAATTGGGTAGGCTAAATTGTCCTTAGTGTATATGATTGTGTGTGTGGATGTTTCCCAGAGATGGGTTGCGGCTGGAAGGGCATCCGCTGCGTAAAAACTAGCTGGATAAGTTGGTGGTTCATTCCGCTGTGGTGACCCCGGATTAATAAAGGGACTAAGCCGACAAGAAATGAATGAGTTTCATGCAAGCGGACATAGGTGCCGTCTGTAAATGATGTCACTTGCAAAAGAAGTGCGGTTGCCTGAGCGTGCAAGCCTGGAGGTGCAAATGCAAATTTCGTTATCATTCTTACAGATGACGGGGCGTTTTTTTTTTTTTTTTTTTGCATTTCGGCGGATAGTTTTGCACTGTGCACAGTTTTAAAACATTTTAAACTTGTAAAACTCATTCCTGGACTCATTTGATGATGATTGATGATCCCAGAGAGCTGAACAGATCTTTTAATCCCGGTTTCTTTGCGCACGTCCTGCCTTGTTGATATGATTATACGCATTACTATTGACACATGTTAATACACCGCTGTCAATCAAATTGGTGGGCGGGGAAACCGCACTCGTACGTCAAGTTGCAGTCTGCCTCAAAGTGGGAAGGATTTGAATCCAATTTTAATGTCAGGAAATTAAAAAAAAGAGACTTGTTGTGTTTACATCACTCCAGTATGACTGTGGACACACTATACCTACACACAGTTCTGTCCAAACAGCTCCTGAAAGATGATTTTCACCATAGGTGCCCTTTAAATCTTATAATTACTTTAAACTTTCAGACGAAGCTTTTTCAAGGCGCTGTAACGTTTGTTTATGAGCTTTATTTTTCTAGTTAATGTCTGTTCTGTGTTTTGATCACCAGGTTGGTCTGAACCGCGGATCAGACTGAGCTCTGGTGCTCTGGCCGGCACAGATGTGATCCTGGATTCCGGATCTCCTCTTCAGCTGGTCTGTGAGGGCGACGGTCCAGTAACGTTTCTTCCCCGTCTGGCCAAACACAAGCGCTACATTTCCAAAGAAGTGGGGAAAATACGCAGTTTCCTCGTGGAAAAGGCAACGGTGGACTTCACAGGAACATACAAGTGCGTCTATATGAATGGAAATGATTCAAACTTGTCGTCTTCGGTTCATGTGTTTGTCCGGGGTGAGTGACTCTTTCATTTCTCCACACTTGCAGAAGCACATCATGATGTTAATGATGTAATGTATTGTAATGTTACAGACTCTCGAGTTCTCTTTGTTTCTCCGAGTACGTCTCTGCGTTATGTGCGGAAAGAAGGTGAAGATCTGTTGCTCCCGTGTCTTCTGACCGACCCTGAAGCCACAAACTTCACATTTCGCATGGACAACGTTTCAGCAGCGCCCTACGGCATGAACATCACCTACGACCCCAGAAAGGGTGTCCTGATCCGCAAAGCTCATCCTGGATTTAATGGTGAATACATCTGCAGCGCTAGAATCAGAGGAATTGAGAAAGTGTCAAAGATATTCTCAATAAACATCATTCAAAGTGAGTTTCATTTACAGTGCTGGGTGTTTCCATTCAAATCAGCTGACAGAAGCTCCACATTTTAAATAAACACTCCGCTTTTTTGGAAAATAGAGTCATTTTTCAAGTCACATAGAGTTAAATAGCTTGGTTTTACCACTTTTAAAACTATTCAGCCAATCTTCAGGTCTAGTAAAAGCGCTTTTAGCTTAGCATAGATCATTGAATCGAATTAGACCATTAGCATCTCCCTCAAAAGAACGCTTTTAGCTTAGCTTAGCATAAATCATTGAATCAGATTAGACCATTAGCATCTTCCTCAAAAGAACGCTTTTAGCTTAGCTTAGCATAAATCATTGAATCAGATTAGAATATTAGCATGTCCCTCAAAGAAACGCTTTTAGCTTAGCATAGATCATTGAATCAGATTAGACCATTAGCATCTTCCTCAAAGGAACGCTTTTAGCTTAGCTTAGCATAGATCATTGAATCGGATTAGACCATTAGCATCTCCCTCAAAGGAACGCTTTTAGCTTAGCATAGATCATTGAATTGTATTAGGCCATTAGCACCTCACTCAAAAATGACCAGAGAGTTTCAATCGTACATTTGCTGCTATACCATGACTGCAGCAGGCACAATAATCTTGCAGCAAATGAAAAATATTCACCAGTAGCAAGCCCTACACTTGGACCACCAGTTAAAATTGGTACTGGGGACTATTTTTAGCTGATGCATAATGTTATTGCTCCAGCTGAAGCCTGCTAAAGGTACTACAGCAAAGTTCCCTGATTATTATGCTAGAATGAGAGCATAAATCCCAGCATTTCATTTTACCATTGGTCTTAGTACATGAGATAACTACACAATAATCAAGCTTTAAACAGGAATATTATCATAACTTCTTTTGTCATTTTTGAGGAAAATGCTAATGGTCTACTCTGATTCAATGATCTATGCTAAGCTGAGCTAAGCTAAAAGTGCGCCTGCTAGACCCAGAAATCCACTGAATAAATTAAAAAATTGATGAATTGATGACTAGTTAAAGGGATACTTCACCCAACAATGAAAACTCTTTTTGCGTATGATGCTACAAGCTTGGCCACCCCTATTTTTGTTCAGTTCTTTTTTGCAGTTACTCTCAAGCTTCATCAGGTTGGATTTAGAGTGTCAGTCTACTTATCAGTGTTGGGCAAGCTATTTGACAAATGTAATGTGCTAAGCTATTAGCTACTCTACTTAAAATGTAGCTTAACTACACTAAAGCTATGCCCTGGGAAATGTAGCAAGCTAAGCTAAAAGCTACATGGCAAAAGTAGCTTAGCTACATCCAAGCTATTTTTACAATGTTCATTTTTAAATCGAAGCAGCTTAAATCCAAGTCAATCATATCTTAGTGATTAATAAAACTGTCAATGAACCATATGAGGCATAATAGTTCAGTTCAGTTATTTACTGTAAATAATATGCTGTACTAAACAGAAACACATTATAGTATATAACAGCTAAAACAAAATATCCAATAAAAACAGGTGACACACATTTAAAATACTATAGTAATTGATAGTAAAGGGATATATATATATATATATATATATATATATATATATATATATATATATATATATATATATATATATATATATATATATATATACATATATATATGTGTGTAGTAATAAGCATTATAGTGTTATATATACTAAAGTATTTTTATTTTTTGAGCACAGCATCAGAAATTAAGTTATTGCATCTCTTGGTCTGGGCTCTGGCTGGGTCACTCAAGGACTTTCATGGAGTTGCAGTCCATATATTTTTCATCTTTATTTCTATTGCACTTTTTACAATGTAGATTGTGTCAAAGCAGCTTAACATAGATGAAGAAAAGAGAGTAAAAGCCATGATGTGTTAAATATTGTTGAACATTCCATCAATTCAGACAAGCAGGAGAGTAGTGTAGAACAATGTTTCTCAACCATGTTCTTGGAGCACCACCAGCACTGCATGTTTTGGATCTCTGCTTTATCTGTCACACCCACTGCAGGTCTTTCAGTCTCTGTTAATGAGCTGATGATCATGGTTGAGAATGTGCAGAGCTGATGGTCCTCCAGGAATGTGGTTGAGAAACACTGGTGTAAAAAGTGGTGTAATTCTAGTTAAGTTTAAATGATTTAGTGTAAAATTGATTTTCTTCAAGGATGTATATTGCTGCATTCATCTTTTCCTTAATTCTGACTATTCCCTGTCCCTGCTGCCGAAATGTGGAATAAGATATTGTAATTAAAAGCTATAATTTTTATTATACTATTTGTTTGTTTGTATTCAGGGTTACGTTTTCCACCGTATGTGTACCTGAAGAGGAACGAGTATGTAAAACTGGTTGGGGAGAGACTTCAGATCAGTTGTACGACAAATAATCCTAACTTTTACTACAACGTCACATGGACACACTCCTCAAGAATGGTATGAGCTTTTCAAGTAAATGTATGAAAGTATATAGTCATTGCCATGTTTCAACAACAATAATCAACACTGCATGATTTCTGAAAGATGATCTGACACTGAACACTGGAGTAATGATGTTCAAATTCAACTTTAAAGCAGAAGAACAAATAATATTTCAAAATTTTTTGTGAATTTTTAATCACTCAAATGCAGATTTGGTTAGCGGAAAAGATTTATTTGAGCATGTAGGATAACTGTTGTACTTGTCTGTTTATTAGCTGCCCAAAGCAGAGGAGAAATCAACAATGGAGGTCGACCATTTAGCCATCGAGAGCATCCTGACCATCCCGTCTGTTCAGCAGTCGCACACTGGGAACATCACCTGTACGGGTCAGAATGAAGCCGGGGCAAACAGCTCCACCACACAGCTGCTGGTCGTAGGTGAGAAGCAGAGATGATTGTTGACGTTTGTGTCCTTTAAAGGGGACTTATTTTTTGCAAAAATCACTTTTATGAGAAGTTTAAACACAATTGTGTGGCAACAATGTGTGAATATAGGCGGTCCCTTACAGTTAAAAATAAATTTATTAAATTTTTTATAATCAGACTTGATAAAAACAGTTTGCAGAAATATTTTTATTGACATTCTCTCTTTGTACGTGTCATCAGAGTAGAGAAAGCCCTGCACATTACTGATGATCTCTATTATCAGCTTAGACAGCCCTGAGTGAGAAGCAGCCGTCTGCCATTCGTGTTTTCACTGTAGTCCACTGTAATCACCTTCTTCGGAGCCACTTCTTTTGACATTTTCAGTTTTTACACAGATAACATTAGTCCGGTTTTGAATCTGCCACTAACTCACACATAGGCATTTGTAGCTTTGCCCTCTTTATTCCTTTTCACACTTTGTTTCCTGCTGACTGCTTACTTGTATATGGACGGTACTTCCGCTGCTACCATTTTGTCTGAGATTCGCTGCGTACATCGACAGACTTGTGACATGTAGTGTACAGTGTAGTTGACAGCAATGACGAGGTTTGAGTCCACCAAAGAATGGCTCCAGAAAGGAGGTAAGACAAAAACAAAAGCCAAAAAACAAAAACAAACAAGTAAAGAACAGGATGAGAATTGGGTAAAATCTGAAAACATGGTAAAAATCAGGCTGTTCTTTTTCTGGATTGCTTTTGAAACCCTGTCGGTTGGGTTTAGGTAAGGCGGTGGACGGGTCGATTGGGGCTTTTGAAAACACTGTCATTGGGTTTAGAGAAGGGGGTGAGTGGGTCAGTTGGTGCCTTTGAAATTACTTACGGTTGGGTTTAGGGAAGGCGGTGGGTTGGTCAATCTTTGCTTTTGAAAATACGATTGGTTTGGTTTAGGGAAGGCGGTGGGTGGGTCAGTTAGTGCTTTTGAAAACACTGTCTGTTGGGTTCAGGAAAGGTGGTGCGCGTGTCAGTCTGTGCTTTTGAAAACACTATCGGTTGGGTTTATGGAAGTTAGTGGTCGCTGGTAGTGGGTGGATCATTCGATTCTTTTGAAAACACTACCGTTGGGTTTAAAGAAGGTGGTAGGTGGGTCACTCGATGCTTTTGAAAACTATTTTTTGGGTTTAAGGAAGGCGATGGGCGGGTCAATCTGTGCTTTTGAAAAGACTATAGCTTGCGTTTAGGGAAGGCGGTGGGCGGATCAATTGGTGCTTTTGAAAACACTGTCGTTGGGTTCAGGTAAGACGGTAGGCTAGTCAATTAGTGCTTTTGAAAACACTATCATTGAATTTAGGGAAGGCAGTGGGCTGGTCAATTAGTGCTTTCAAAAACATTGTCGGTTGGGTTTAAGAAAGGCAGTAAGCCATTCAATTGGTGCTTTTGAAAACACTATCGGTTGGGTTTAAGGTAGGAGGTGGGTGGGTCAATCGGTGCTTTTGAAAACACTGTTGGTTGGGTTTAAGGAAGGCAGGGGGGCAGGTCATTTGGAGCTTTTGAAAACACTGTTGGTTAGGTTTAAGAAAGGCGGTGGGCGGGTCAATTTGTGCTTTGGAAAACAAAATAAACAAACAAAAATTGGTTGGGTTTACGAAAGAGGGTTGGTTGGGGGTACCGGTTGGTTGGTCAGTCAGTCAGTCAGTCTGTCACTCAACAGCGGCCTTTATAAAAATAAAAAAAAAGCACAATTTACATGAGAAGAGCAGATGCGAATGGTAATTGCAAGAGAAATTTGAGATCTCAAAAAGCATATACAGTGACCTCTGGCAGATTCACAAAAACAAAAACTGCAAAAAAAAATGCACCTTTAGGGACGTATTTGGCACTCTCCGAAAATGTATATATAGAGTATGTTTTCAGAATGAGCCTCAGTTAAAGAAATTAGTATTTCCTCTTTTATCCCTGATTAGGCAACTAAACTGGAAAAGTGACAAATGTCTTTTGAATCTCTTTGCAATAAAAGCTTAAACAAATAAATAAAATAAATAAATCTACTAATGCACTTGTTGTTTGTGACAGAGGAGCCGTACATTCGATTGTCCCCAAAGCTCTCGTCTAAACTCACACACCGCGGTCTGTCCATCGAGGTGAGCGAAGGAGACGATGTGGATCTCGGGGTTTTGATCGAAGCGTATCCTCCTCTGACTTCACACAAGTGGGAGACGCCCACATCCCATAATGCCTCACTTCCAGAGAACAGGTTTTTCAACCATAACGACAGGTCAGTTGAACATCATCGCTAATTTTTTATATTTAATGTTCTTTGAGGTTTGCGTATAGTGTTAAAGTGTTATCGCATGTTTACTTGTTTCAAACCTTTATGAGTTTCTGCTTAAAAAGATATTTTGAAAAATGATGGAATCCTGTATCCATAGTGTTTGTTTTTACTACTATGGAGGTCAATGGTTACGTTGGTCACTTTTCTCATTTATACTATACAAGAAGCAAAATGAATGAATGAATGAATGAATGAATGAATGAATGAATGAATGAATGAATGAATGAATGGATGGATGGATGGATGGATGAATTAATTAGTACTAAATGAATGAATGATTATATAAATTAATGAATGAATGAATGAAGGAACAAATGATTTAATAAATTGATGGACTGATGAATGAATGAATGAATGAATGAATGAATGAATGAATGAATGAATGGAACGTTAAAGGAATGAATGATTTTATAAATTGATGGACTGATGAATGAATAAATGAATGAATGAATGATGGATGGATGGATACATGGATGGATGGATGGATGAAGAAATGAATGAATAGATGAATAAATGAACAAAGAAATTTTGTACCAATATTTTGTCTTTATATAGTCATGAATAAATGAATATATATATAGTCAAATGCAGTTATTAACATGGCAAGTGACACAAATATAACAGTTTAATATTGTTATTATTCATAGGCTGATAAATGTGAGCTCATTGTGATGGATTTTGTAGGTACGAGGCGCTGCTGTTCCTCAAGAGTCTGAACTTCGAGGAGATCGGCCAATACACGCTTAATGTCAAGAACAGCATGAAAAATGCCTCCATTACTTTTGATATTAAAATGTACAGTAAGTAAAGTTACTTGTGTTTATATATGTATGTTATGTACGATTAAGATACATACGACACTAGGAAAATATGGCGTATTGTTGTTGAATATATATATATATATATATATATATATATATATATATATATATATATATATATATATATATATAATGTGTTTAATTATATATGAAATGAATAGGTTAAAGATATTTTTCAGATCTAGTTATATCTAATTCAGACTAAAAATGTTGTGAAAATGTTTTGGTTGCTTTTAATAATTTTTAGGCATTTTTAAGTCTTTAAAACACAGAGTAAAAGCAATCAATGTATAAAAAAATGTAACTTATCACACATGTCTACAATACGTGTCTTGCATGTAATATCATCGTGATAATGATAATTCTGTGACATATTGCACAGCCCTATTGTTAATATATGTAAGTAGAGCCAGACAGAATCTGCAGACATTTTCGGACCCGTCTAGGGATAAGCGAAGACTGCACACACAATGCTGCTCAAGAAAATTTATAAAGAATTTAGTTTATCGATTATTTTCTAAAAACAAATTTTGTCTCTTTTTTCAACTTCAGGAGCTGACTAAGCCAAAATAATAAACAAAACAATCTAAATTCAAATCCCCTCTAAAATTTTCAGCAAAAGAATTCCTATAGTGGGCCTAGTAATAATTTATATACAAAACTTGAGGCATCCCATTTTAAAAAGCATTTGCTCTGTAAAAGCACCATCCCCTTTACCACGGTCTTTAGATTTACAATGTTATATATCACGTAAAAATTGTCATGTAATTTAAATATTACAATTATCTAGGTATGGTTATGCGGTTTAGCCTTTAAATGTCACTTTAATCTGTATAGAAGTGTGTTTAAAAATATCTAGTCAAATATTATTTACTGTCATCATGACAAAAATAAAATAAATCAGTTATTAGAAATGAGTTATTAAAACTATTATGATTAGAAATGTGCTGAAAAAAACTTCTCCGTTGAACAGAAAATTAGGAAAAAAATAAACAAACAAGGGGCCTAATAATTCTGACTTAAACTGTGTATATATTCTGAATTGTTTGTTTAACCATCTCTGAATTATTATTTATTTATGTACTGGTAAAATAAATTCATTTAACATGGGAGCAGATGTTCATTTCCTTCATAAGAACTACTATTTGAAAAAAAAAACACTTTCACAAATCTTAAAATTGACATCAGAACAACTTCATAAGGCCCAGTCTTTGTGATTGTATGCTTACTGGTAAAAATATGTGTGTAAATCAAATATTAATGCTAACACTTTCAAATATTGATCCATACTTAAAGGTGCCCTATAGAGAAATCTGGGTATACCAAGGAATAGTAGAATAATAAAAGATCACTATATGTAAATGGGCACACTGTGAGCCTCAGACACCACTGTTTTCTTGTTTTCATGTAGAATCGACAAGTGTAAAAGCCCAGTGGACAACAGGCCAATCAGAAGACAAAACAAACTGTGACGAGACTCGCGGGCCATGCCCTCCGCATTTGCATCTATGCCTACTTTAGGCCATTAATCCAGACCTGATGAGCCGCCGCATCATCAAGAGAACACGACTCATATGCAACTCTGACATCATAAATAAAGCTCTGAAATCATTAATATGCTCAGACTGCCTTTGATAAGCCAAACATTTTCAAGTAATAAAACAGCGATTATACCCCTCCTTTTAAGTGTATATTTCACTTACTAGCAGTTAGTAAATTGGCAAACTATCATCTCAATAACATTGCAAGAATTAGATGCTTTGTTTCCAGTGAAGACCTAAAGAAACTTGTTCATGCTGTTGTCAGCAGCAGGGTGGATTACTGTAATGGACTCCTCACTGGCCTTCCCACAAAGACAGTCAGACAGTTACAGCTCATCCAGAACACTGCGGCCAGAACCAGGAAAATCAGAGCACATCACACCTGTCCTCAGGTCTCTACACTGGCTCCCAGTTACATTCAGAATAGATTTGAAAGTATTATTACTTGTCTATAAATCACTTAATGGCCAAGGACCTCAATACATTACAGATATGCTGACTGAATACAAACCTAACAGATCATCCAGATCTTTAGGATC